ATAGGTATGTTGATAGCGAACGAGAGGAGACGGTAGCTGTTATCCAACCGAAACAGCGGTCAGCGGACTTGAAACATCTATCTGTAGCCGGTTTCCGTTCAGCGCGATGTGACCGCGCCGCTTCCGTTCTCGGTATCGCCATGGATCGCTGGCTGTGGGCGTCCCATGACGGCGGGGGTATCACTCCGTGTCCCCGTTCGGGGTACTGCCGGCCGGGGACGTCCCAGACGGTACTGTGGCGCGGCAGGGATCCAGCAGAGGGCAGCCTGACCTCGGGGATGGGTGAAGCTCCCTGCGTCAGCGCGACGCTCAGCGGACCCTGGACCGGACGGGCTGTCCCCTGGCCGCCATGCCCAACGCCGGTCGGCCTTGTGTTGGTCACGCCGGCGCGGCGGGCCGGTGACATTAGGGGGCAGTGCCGTACCCGGACCCACCAATAGAATGGACCGGCGCCGGCTGAACCAACACGTCCCGCGCCCGTGTGAAGGGGGGGAGGGCGGAGTTAATGCCGGGCGCGGCTCAATGTGGGTCACAGCGCCACTACCGGGAGCAAAAACACGACAGCGGATGCCGCCCAGCTGGGGCCGCCTTGTCACTTCCTGACATTCGGAGTAACAACAGCGACAGTGGCATACACCCTGACAAAGGCGTCACAGCTCGCGACCAGCGCCATAACACTTCAGGAAGTAGCTTTGGCCGTGCTCTATCGCATAGCGGTGCGCCGATACAAACACTAAGGTCCTTGGTTTCGCCCAGGTGCGGCGCCCGCTGATGTCGGTCTTGGCGTAGACTTCCGCGAGTGTTTGGAGGTCGGTTGTGGGTTACTAGCCGCTATGCAGCCCGTCCTGGCGAGAACCGGCCGTAGTGCCGGCCACGGAAACGATCGCCGATCAGGTGCATGCAAATGCGACGTGTCGAGGCTGCCTCGTCTTCGGTCGTCGGAGCGCGGTCGCTGGTCACGATACGACTCGGACGGATGAGAGTCCGATTAGCGGTGTCCAGTGTCCGGCCAAGGCTGATAGACTTGAAACTTTGAGTGAGTGAGTGAGACCCACTCACTCACTTGATTGTCGTTTTGCCTCTGTTGAGACCCGTCGATGACCCCGTGTCTTAGTCGTCATCGGTATGCTAGTATTTCCATTCGTGCTATATCATCGGCGTATCTCCAAATAACTTCACATTTGAAGCTTGTGTGTCAAATTTCGCTTCGTTCAAATACCGACCTGTGTGCGATGTATTGTCTTGTGCATCTCTACAACTCTGCAGCACTGGAAGTGATGTTAAAGGGAGATAATGAGCTTTCTTTTTTCTTTAATAAAAATTACTCGACATCTATACTATTTCTACTGTAGTTTCTATAAAATATGAAAATTTCCTAGCACATTTTCGTATGTGAAAAAGGTTTTATTTTTGCAAAAAAGAAGCAGTACTTGCAGTACTTGTAACACCCACCGAAATGCGTTGTCCTTCTTGTCCTTCTCTATAAAAAAGTCGCAGTATATGGCGCTTTTGTTTCAAACAGCGACGCTTGGGTTTTTGTTTATGTTATCGCCTTGTCGTTGCTTGGTTGTAAGGATTCTAATTTGAATTGAGTTAATTCGGTTTAGAATTAATTAGATTCGTACATAGTGCCTACTCTTCTTTGTTTCCAAGTATTATTTTGCGCCACAAATGAACGGCATGCGCCAGAAACGCAGCCAAATCTTGCGATTGCGATGGATTGCGACTACGAAATTCATTATTTTGGCCTCAGAGCCTGAAGCGAAAAATACAAGCATATTTATTTCAAAAAGACTTCAGGTTTGTCGAACGGTGTTATGAGAATTTTGATAACAGTACTGCATAAGTTTTTCAGTGATGCCGCAAAAGTGTTGTATCTATCTTCTTTTATTGTGCAGTCGGCGGGACCGATTCAAAATTGAGTCGTTGCTACTAAAATAGCAGCATATGGCCTCAGATGATGAACAGGAAAAATAGTTGCGTAAATTTAGACATAAACCACCCCCAAACCATGAATATCTTTTGAAGGCACTATAGACGACCATTAACTAACTAGATGTGATGAAGATCAAATGTAAGGAATACGCTCATTTTACAAAATTACATGCAAGTACCCTGTCATCGGGCGGCTACTCCTCCGCATCATCAACTGCAGCATCGTCTCTGAAACGGTGCCGGACGACTGGAAGAGAGCGGTAGTCATCCCACTGCACAAGCGCGGTGATGCAACAGAGGCTGCCAACTATCGTCCCATCACCAACGTTCCCATCATGTGCAAAATCATAGAGAAAATAATACACAAACAGCTGACGTCATACATGGAGAGAAATCATCTGTACAGCGAGGACCAACATGGCTTCAGGGCAGCTCACTCGACCACGACAGCACTCGTGACGGTGACTGATAACATCTTATTCGGCATGGACAGGGGAGAGGTGTCCCTGCTGGCCCTGATTGACCTGTCCCGGGCCTTCGATGTCATCGACCATGAAGTGCTCCTGGAGAAGCTCCGGCTGCTGCAGGTTGCCACCGGCTGGCTGGAGAGCTACCTCCGGGGCCACGTCCAGCAGGTGCACGTGAACGGGACGGCATCTGAGCCCCGCAGCATCACGGTGGGCACGTTCCAGGGGTCCTCCCTGGGCCCCCTGCTCTACAACATCATGGCCAACGACTTCTCCACCTACATCCCAGCGACTATCGATGGCTTGCGAGTCACCGTCACTAGGTACGCTGACGACACCCAGATCGTTGTGACGGGACCACGGAGCCGGCTGGCGGACATCCAGACTGCAATGTCAGCTCTCCTCGACGACATACTGACCTGGTTCATGCAGCACGGCATGAAGGTGAACACGAAGAAGACGGAGCTGCTCCTCATCGGTGGTTCACGCATGCTGCCAAAACCAGAAGACGCCGCGCCGATCACGGTTCAGTTCAAAGGCGAGACTATATTCGAATCTCAGAGTGGGCATGTGCTCAATCTTGGTGTCACGTTTGATAGAAATCTAAGTTGGGTTAAACACATAGATAACACTGTCGCCAAGTGCTGTGGTATTTTGATTGGACTTGCAAACGCGAAAAATGTCTTACCATCATTCATTCTTGCTCAGCTCATCGAGTCACTAGTATTTTCTCATCTACGCTACTGCGCACAAGTGTACGGAAACGCCTCAAACTGTCATCTGAAAAAAAAATCCAGAAAGTGATACACTTCGCGGCACGTGTCATGTCTGGTAGGCGTAAATTTGACCACATTTCAGATGTCACGCGATCGCTAGGATGGCTGTCAGCACGTGATTTTATTGACCTCAACGACATCTGTCTCCTTCATCGTATCTTGTCGCAGAAGCAACCCCTATCGGTGGCCTCTCAATTCAAGAGAAACCATCAGGTTGCGAGCAGATGCACGCGTCAATCAAATTTTCTAGCAGTGCCCCGAGCCCATACCCATCATGGCCAGAGAACGTTTCATTGTAGAGTCGCGAAACTGTATAATACCGCTGTCATAGCTAAAAATCGCCAGGATCTGACGGCGCGACGTCTGAAAGCAGTGCTCAAACGTGAGTTCATGTCCCGGCGCTAGTGCGGGATACAGCCAACTCGTTATCGTGTTAGATCACCAGCTTGTATGTACTAACTGTTTTTACCTGCGATTTTACCCAAGTGTTTTTAATTCTGTGTGTTCAATGATGTTTTAATGTGCTGTTCTTTTAATGGTGCGAACTGGAGCTTTTGCTCCGATTCTCCATTGTATGACGAAAATCATAGAATAGCCCTTCTCAGAGGATATGATTGGATATTCGTGACAATAAACAATAATAGACAATAAGTACCAAAAAGTGATGTAAGTACTTATTCAACGGTCATTTTCAGCGCTCCCCGCTAACGTGACTTCAAGTTGAGATATTTGCGGCAAGGTACCGCATTGAGCAAAATGGTTTTAATTTACATTATAACTTGTTGTGTTTTGTCAGAAAATGATCCTAACTCAGATTTTGTGGAAAAAGGTCATTATCTCCCTTTAACTGGTGATCTCCATCGATACTCGCCGTTCTTCTTCTTCTGCTCCTGGGAGTCGAGCCCAAAGACTATGCATATGCATTGCCGTTTTAGCGTGCTACGCTGCTGGAGCTGTCGACTTCATTTTCTTTCTTCATCCGCGTCACTGGCTGTTACCCGAGCCACCGCTCTCCATAGTTTAACGACTTCTTCACCAATCACACCCGCAACAGCGGCACAACACGCGGCAACCTCGCCCCCGCCCGCGGCGTACATTGCAAACTCTCTCGGTGCAGGCGTACCCAAACTGCACCGAGAATGCACCGAGAATGCACTCAGAATGCACCGGGTGGGCCGTGGGGCGGCTGTGCTGGAAGATCGATGGGAACCGTCGGCTGCTCTCTGGGCTGGGACAGCAGAGCGAGAGAGCGAGGGAGGGAGGGAGAGCTAGGGCGGGATACAAAGCATCCCGCGCCAGCTGAAGACGCAGCAGGCGGGATGCAGTAGGATGGCTTAAGAGCAAGCTTTGGCAACTAAGGTCACAGCTGAAAGATCATTCCAAAAGGTTGATGCGCTGCACGGAATTTACTAGACACTATCTCTGCCATTATGATGAAGTGCATATTGTGTTGCAAATCTTCCTACTTGACCTTGCGTAAGGATATCTTCGTTGGATCTTGACGTTCAGATTGTGGCGATAGAAAGTTGACTTAGAGCTAGATGCAAAGGGCAATGCGATTTCGACGAACCAATGAGCGATACTTAAAAGGCAGATGGTAAACATGAGGTTTTAGTCATTTTGCTTGACCTGCAATTTATCATTCATATTCTCCTGTAGGAAACAGCATATGGGACGCTAATTCCGAAAATGACCGTAATATCATACCGTGTCTGCCGTCTTCCCCATTTTGCACCAATAGGCAATATGTCTTCATTGTCTTCGCAGTGCGTGACTGCCTTGTCCCCTCGACTGACCGTGTTCCCCGCTCTGTTCCCGGCAGATCCAGTTCGACGGACTGCGGTGCGACGCCCCGAACCTGCCCTACTTCGTGTCGTTCTCCGCCTTCTTCTTTCTGGTGGGCGCCGTGTGCCTGGCGCAGCTGGTGCTCTGTGTGCGCGCCGAGTTCGCGCGCATGAAGACACCGTCACTGCTGCGGGCGTGCCGCGTCACCACCCAGAAGGCGCTCTACGTGCTCATCTTCGCGGCGGCCGTGCTGCGCGGCCTCTACTTTGCGGCACCGGTCAGTCGCGCGCCGCCGGCTGAGCACCCGGTAAAGGGGGACGCCAGGGCGGGGAACTCGAGTGGGGAGCTGGGGAGCGGTGTGTGGCGGGGCTTTGGAGAGGAGAAGCGGGTGCCATGGGTGTAAGAAGGGGTGACGGTGATGGGTGTCTTCTGGAGGTTGTAGTGGGGCTGGGTGGCCTTTGTGTGTGCTATAGAGTAATGGGTAGCGGGTGCCTCGGCTTTGGTAAAGGGCATTGGCAAGCGGATGCTGTAGTTGTCATGGCGGATTTCGGCTTGGTTTGATTTGCAAGGAGCTGGTCTGTGATCATGTGGCATGATAACTGAAAGTGACGCGTAGGGAGTTTTCCTGTGGCCGTGTCAGTTTGAGCTGTGGTTTTCAACTATGGTGCAATGATCGAGGGTATGCAGTCGGCACGAGCGGAAGGCAAACTGTTAAGTTTGCTATTCTAGAGCAAGCTTGATAGGTAAAACCGAATTTAACTGATGTGCGTTCAATAAGTAAGTTCCGGAGAGCAATTACATAAAATTCACGCGGTCTACGCACGTGATTTTTTCAGGAATTAGAATTCAGACCTTTATGTCGAAGTGACTGCATTTTCAGCTTCTTATTCCATTTCTTTGACGATATGGAGCAGATCAAATAACACCATTTTTTAGACTGCTTTAGAAATGGCATCGGCCGCCCGAGAGGATCAACGTTCAGTGATAAGATTCCTAGCTATCCAGGGCTAGGCGGCGGCTAACATCCACGCCAACTTCGTGAATGTGTACGGGAGCCATGCTCTTAGTGATTCCGCAGCTCGGAGGCGGAAGAAAAAGTTTGGGGAGGGGAGGGAGAGCGTGCGCGACCTGTCACGTGCAGGCAGGCTGAGGACGATGGTCACAGCCACTAACGTTGCCAAAGTGGAGGAGATAGTGATGGCCAACAGAAAGATTACTGTCCAGGCGATAACAGAAAGCCTAAACATAAGCCTACGCCAGGATCATTAGAGACCATCTCCTGCCAGTAATCGCCAGTTGCCGCCCCCGAGAAGGCCCGTGGTCGGTTCATCCTCCACCAGGATTGCGCGCCTCCTCACCGTGCCCTCGTGGCGAGGGATGCCCTGCAGGCAGAGGGCATCGAGATGCTCTAACACCATCCCTACTCTCCAGACGTTGCACGCAGTGACTATTGGCTGTTCGCAGACATGAATAAAATCTCCGGGGCCGGAGGTTCGGCTCGCGGTCTGCACTCGGGTCTGCTTTTTACCAGTATGGCGAAAAGACCCTCGCTCAAAGCTTCCGTGCGGCCATCCGGGACCTGGCCAAGCGATGGGAACGATGCGTTCGCCTGCAGGGCGAGTTCGTCGAGCCGTGAACCATGTTTGGTTGAGATGTGCCAAAAAATAAACGAGTTATATCAAAACGGAACTTACTTATTGAACATACTGGTATTTTGGCCCACGCTGGCCGCGTCATTGCTGGCTGTGCTTTTGCTTTTGGCTCGTGCTTTCATGTAGTTTCGCAATATCATTATTTCATTGGTGATTGCCGATACAGTCAAAGTTGTCGAAATGGCGATTGGTCAATATCCGATATTTTGACCTATAGTTCAGTTCTGCCGGTGCAATGATCGCTTTATGGTGGTGTACCTACCCTACAAGCATGGCCGCGGACAATCATTGCTTGCTTTTAACATGTATGTAAATTTGATGATGTTTCGTATAAATTGATCGAACCGTACCCCCACCACGCTACTGGCGGGGAAGTCCGTTTCAAAGTTGTTTACATTGACCGTGAATCAAACTAACTGCACAGTAGGTAGCGGCAGGACGTCACTGCGCACTGACATTTACCCCGAGCACGGAAACCCTGTGAAGTCCGCTTCAATCGGCTCGTATGTGAGCGGTAACATTCCCCAGCCATAAGCCATTGCCGCCGGCGCTGTGCCCCACGGCCGACCGGCGCCGGCCATGCATGTGCCAAGTGCCACCCGCCTCTGCCCGCGTCATCGCTGGCCTGCGAGGTAGCAGTCGCCGAGTCTCGCTCTGCTCCCGCTGCGCCCGGAACTGGATCAAACCGGCGACATCCTGTCGAGGTTCCTCCGCCGAATGCTGCACCAGCGCATGGTGACGCCGCTCGTTCTCAGTAACGACCGGGCTGAGTTTGCATTGGTCAATGTCACTGGGAAGTGAGTCCTCCTGGCTTCATGTTCGTTGGGAGCGAGTCCGTCCATCGGGCGGGGCTCGGGGTTGGTCAGTGCGCCGTCACGCGACCGGTCGCTGCTCGCCCAGAGAGCCGCTCTGTAAACAGCAGAACGATAAGATTGGTCAGCCGTAGAGGCGAGCGCACGCACACACACGCACAGACGGTGGATACGATGTATTGATTCTGGGCAAAAGTCGGGGCCATTACGATACATGACGAGCCGTGGCCGTTGATACGCTGGTCGAATCGTAATGCTTTTCTGTAGATTGCGTGTGCAGTTGTACATACGTAGTTACCCACTCAAGTGTTTGTCGAGAAGTACTTGCCTGATATTGACCTTAGTGTTTATGATGCGACCAAAGGTTAGGCCAATAGGCATCATGCAGGTGTTTTGTGTGTGAGGGTGAGGTTAATGTTATTGTAACGTATTGCCAGGTGCATTCAACTCTGCTGAAATAGACCTAATATTTCACGCATATTTTGCGAAGAAGGTGTAATCGATGATGCTCAGAATCGGGTGTCATTTCGCAGTGCGCTATATTGTATAACAATCATACCCGAAGGAGGGCAAAGGATGATTCTGCATTATGAAATAGCTCTGGTACACCGCCGACATTCCTAGAATGTTAGAAATACCCCGGTTAAATTATAATGCAATGCATTCCATTGTTTTATCTGCAACATACTTTGTTCTGTTTTGTAATGCATAACCTATGACCATCGTGCTCTTTACACATCACTCGGCGGGTTTTGTAACTGACATCTTTGACGTGCGTCTGTCAGCATCCCTGACGTGTCCTCTGACGTGTGCAGCTTCACTGACATAGGCTGGTCTCTTCTTCCGCTGCAGAAACTGCTGGACGAGGAGTGGACGGCCGGCCTGCTGAGCGCCTACTACGCCGTCCTCCTCACCGGCTCGTCCCTGATCGTCTGCTTCTGGGCAGAGGTCAGTTCAACGGCCCCATTCACAGCCGCCGCACACATTAGCGTGCTGACATTATACGACATGAACATGGCGATGGACACCACTTTTTCACATCATACAGCTCATCGCCTGAAGCATCCTTTCATGCATTGCTTTTTTTCTTTTCTTTTTTGAAAGCGGCTATGGTTTACGGACGTTGCGCAGCTTCTAACGTTATCTATCGTGACCAGACGTCACATGAAAGATGGACATTGTATGCTGCCAATAGATCTTCTACAGTCGATTTATTATCTGCCTTTCTCCCGAGTCTCGCCAGAGTCAATCGTTAGAACGACGTTTTGGGTCCTCCCTTCTCCGTGGATGGGAGCTGAGTGCAACAGTGGTTACCCATCACGGATTCCTCCGCCTTCACATTCAGCAGCCTTTCATTCATAAAGTGCTACCTGGTTCAAACGGGTAGCTTCTAACGTATTGATAAATTGAAGGATTTTTTTAAGTTACCTAACACTTTTTTCGCGATTAATTTATAGATATGTATGTCGAACCCCTGTCGCAATCAGCCTTAAACCCTTTGCAACTGAACGCCCCTCGTCAGCCGTCGTCCCCACCGTGTTTCGTGTACCGGCCGGGCCGCGCACCCCATGACTCAGCCCTGTTTGCGGCTCTGTGAATGAGTCACCCACGGTCAGTCACCTGCACAGAGTGGTCCGTACGCTATACCGCCCTCCTGCCCGACGGCCCGGGCTGATAGCTCACCACCTGGGGAGCTAGACAAAGACGGGCGAGTCGAGCAGGCAGACACACATGTGGGGTAGGGATTCCGGCGAAAATATGTTCAGAGTTCGGGAGCTGAAGTGGCTTATTTGAAGTCGATTTGGAGTTGAAGATGTTACCTGACGCCGGATTTGACCAGATTTGGAGTAAGAGATAGACAGTGCAAGGCTGTTTCATTTTGCTGCTTGACCTCAGTCGCACGCAATGTCAGGTAACCAATCTCAACAAAGTTGACTCTTTGTTTGTCTTTAGTGTCTAGTGGAGAGATTACCGGCCAGTAAAATGTAGTAGACACCATATGCTGAATAGCATTATGATAAACGCTCGATGCCGACTGTCGAGGGACAAGCACCACTCTGGCCGGTACAGATTCAACTGCCTGAACCGGTCTGTGGCGGTCAGGAAGGGGGCCGACTGGTTGCTTCGAAGGCTGACCGGCTCAGCACGCGAGCTGTGGTGTCTAGTCATGTAAACAAGCATGCCAGGGTGTGGGGTGAGTTCTGCCTATTTGGGTACGCCGCTGTGTGTGACAATTACGAGGACTAGGACAGGCCCGTAACGTTCAATAATGTTGCTGTAATTCGAGGTTTTCTGTGATCCACCATTAGCGGGCTTTGGTCTCTGTTCCGGGCCCAGCTCCCGACGGGGATCGGAATTCGGAACAGAAAGACGTCACAGGCTCGTTGGATTGTTCGGTCTTGTTTGTTGCGCTAGGTCGGGAAATAAATTGTGTGCCTGGGAGCACTATTAAGTAATTGTCCTCCAGTCATCATCGAAAATTGAATTGACTGCTTTTTTAAAGATTTTTGTTTGTTTGTTTTTGTTTTTCTTTGGATACAGGCCGGCCAGTAAAAGCTCGACGCAGAGTTCCACGCGTCTAAATGTCATTGTCCGTTCCAGAAGGTATGATCTAACTGGTTGCATTTATTCCCGATATTGTGTTTCGTTGGTCGTTCAACTCATCACCTGTGTCGCTGCTGGGTCGCGGTCACGAATATGACATGCTAAGCAGCTAATGAATCTATGCACCTACCTGGCATTAATACCATCCAATAGAGGCTCTATGACTTGAATTTTACAATTTTATTTATCTTAACCCGCGCCCGGCTGGGGGTCCTGGATTTCCACGCCCTGCTGGGGGGGGTGTTTGAACACCCCCCCTTCTAACTCGGCTCCTGGGCCACGTAGCGATACGCGGAAGGCGGCGTTCGAAAGAGCGTCAAAAATAATGAGGAAATTACTTCGGTCAATTTTTTGGTCAGGTCAAAGGTCAGGTCACCAGAGGTCATTGAAGGCAAAATTTCGCCGATTTCCGGGTCGAATGTCGAAAATTTCCAAGAAGCCAACGCATAACTCGGGAACCAATAGAGCTACAGCGCCGCGGAAAAGCGCATTCGATAGCCCTATTAACGCCCTTTCTGAGTAATTCTCTCAGATTTGACCTAACGTCAACGGTTTTGCCTGCAGGGGGCAAAAACTGTAAAAATAGCCGATTTTTTCGGAAACAGTTTTTCTGCAATAACTTTTGACCCAAGCCTTGCACGAGCTGACTTTTACCGGCATCGTGTTCCTCTCGTCAAGACGCATCGAATGAACTATAACTTGACCTTGAAAGGTCAACTTGAAAATTTGACCTCAGGTCAAGGTCATGACCTGACCGGAAAGGGTCATGTTGCATATCAGTCGATCCGTATCGTCGAGCTGAACACATCTAAGGCGTTTTCATCGCTCTAGCATGCCTCTATCAAAAGTTATTTGCGAAAAACTGTTAGATTTCATTCGTGACCTAAGATGACCTCAGGGCATAAACAGGGGTCATGGACACCATTTTCATGTTCAGTGTGTCTAAACCACTTGTAATTCAGTGTTTGGGAGTGTTTATAATGTCTTTCGTCCAAAAGAGGCGCATTTCAATTTTCTCCCATTGACTTATAATGGGGAGGTCGCAAAATTGACCTGACCTTAGGTCATCGATATCAAAATTCTGAGATATACGTTTTGTACATGCTATTGCTCTTAGCAATCGCAGAAAGTTTCAAAGCGATCGGTCACTCGGTGTAGCTACGACAGACATTGAAACTTTTTATGAGGCGAGGTCACTTCAAGTGACCTGGTGACCTGACCTTGAATGACCTTGGTCTGAAATTTTCACAACATGTGTAGAATTGATGTATGATAAGGTGTACCAAAAACGGCGGCGCTCCGCGCCGCCGTTTTTGAGATATTCGCGAAAAACCACAAGGGGGGGTGTTCAAACACCCCCCCCCCAGCAGGGCGCGGGTTAAATGTCTGTTGCTCCTTAGGTGTATTTATTGGTGCCCGCTTTTTTACCATGGATCACCTCCCACATGCTCTAGCTGTCTGTTGATATTGTGCAGGCGTTAGTCCGTTGAGTAGTCTGGTTTAATTTTTTAAAATCCACTCGGACCGCTGTCATCGGGGCTTCCCCGATCCCAAGACCCGGGTGACCTTGGTCGGCCTGCTGAGATCGTTGGCTTTGGACGGGATCAGCCCGCTGCCGGCTAGTTCTGGCATCTTGCATGCCACTCGGTGACCTTCAGACGGCAGACGGACGCGTGTTTCGTTTCAGGAACCAAGGAGAGGCGCTGGTTGTTAAAACGAAACGCACCAGACGGACCCGCTGTCTGACGCGTGGAGGTCACCGACCAGTCTCTCATCCTTTCAATGCTCTCAATCCTCTCAATCCTCGAGTCAAATCTGTAATCCAAGCTAGCTCATGCCGGCACAAGTAGCCAGATATACCTACACAATCTATAATGCCGATTGTACTCTAGTGAGAGTAGACTAATAGATTGTTTACAACTACATACTCTGACGCAGTGACGCACATCTTACGCACGTTTCGTCGCCCTGCCACCCACCTCCCAGAGGAAAGTGGACCAGGCCGTGCCGAGCGAGACAGTCCGCCTGGCGCCGCCGGCGGTGATTGGTACCCGACGGCCGCGGTCGGCTGACGTCATAGAGGGCCCGGGGCGGTCTAATGACGTCATGGAGGGCCCGAGGCGCTCCGGTGGCGTCACTGATAGCCTGAGGCGGTCTCAGCTTGTGGCCAATGGATAGGGTGGGAATTGGAAGGGGATCTTCTCTCTAGATGCTTTTCGCCCACCCGGCAAGCGACTGACCATGAGTCCACTACACGTTGTGCCCCACGTCCTGTCCTGGCACGCTCAGAGTTAGGTACGCTCTCCTACCACAATCATGTTTCCTGTTGGAGCTTTGTTTTTCGTTCTTAAAGGGACTATCCCACCTTTAACATGGGGTTTGAGTTGAGATAGCCAAGTTTGCGGCGAGGTTCAGAAACCACTATCTATCTAGGTTGCAACCCCCGCGGCCTCTTGGTGTTGAAGAAATTCGTTCCCTTCATTTGAAAATGGGCCTTGTACAAGGCCCTATCTTCAACATGGAGCGACCGTTAGTGTGACGTCACCTCGTTTAGTCATTCTGATTTAAATGGGTTTGTTCGTTGAAAAATCGCTTAAAACTTGGTCTGAACTTTGTTGTGGTGCCTACAGAGTAAAAAGAATCAGCTTTATGACAGTAATGTGGCCTGGGGAAGGAGGTAATTTTGGGCTGTGACGTCACATATTTGAAAGTTTGTGTTTGGAATATGGGAAGCCTAAGATGTTTAATGAAAAATAAATGCCAGAACCGTGTTCCTGGTCATCCAATCTATAAAGTCGGGCACAATTTAACTGGTTTTAACAACATTTTAGAAGGTGGGATAGTCCCTTTAAAGACATCCCTTGTCTCCATTGTATGAAAAGCAGCATTCCGTTGTTGGCTGTCGGGTTTGGGATAACAATAGCGTGGATTTAAATCGGAACCTTGAAGTAGCTCGAAGTTCCAACCGCCAGTCGCAAAGTTATCCATCGCGTGTCTGGAGTCTGAATCTGCCGACTCAGACTCCAGACAGTCTGAGTCTCTGTCGTCTGTCTTCTGGCTACTTCGCCCGACCGCCTGGTCGCCTGCCCTTTGTCTCCCGGTCCCCCCCCCCCCCCGAAGCCGACCGGGGGGGGGGGGGCACCGATCGATGGTGCCCGCTGAGAGCGGCTCACTGTGACCCTGACCTTGATCCTCGCGCCGACACTGACTGTGGCAGCGCAAACGACACGGGCAAATATTTCATCCGGACAGTATTGACCAAATGATGGCTATTTTGAAATCGACCCTAATCAATTAGATGTGGAGCCAACCATCAGCGTGATTTAATCTTACAACGCGACTTTTGGGTGTTCTGCAAAGGTGAGTCCAGTGATCGCAACCATTCAAGATATGAATAATCGAATAGTTGGCTGCAAGTGCAACCTAATCAACTATCATGCTGACCTCAGTGACCATGTGGGAATTTACCTTGGTCCAGACAATTTGCTATCAGCCAGCCATCGCTTATGATCCCGAACCAATACGGAACAACAAATTTGGTGCTAATGCTAACCTGTTGCTGTGTTAGCAGCACATGCGCTTTTGTGGTGGCGCTGGCCTTGACCGAAATCGAGTTTGTCCGAGCCAACCTTTACATAAGCAAACATCTAACTGGCTATTTGCCTTTGGCTATCCGACCATTCACAGTGTTATCGTGTAGCATGGCCAGGAAACACTGATTGTCAGGCCCGAGTGGCAACAACCGCTATGGTCTTGTGCTTTTTGTCACTTCGATTAAGTTATTTACTAGCTGCTGCAGTTGAAGCAGTGACCGAACTCTTGGCAGCTTCGGCAGGTTTTGAAGTGATGTTAAGCAACGCATCGGCCATCGGTGATGCTATTTACTAGCCACTGGCTAAAGCAAAAGCCAATGCACCCTGCTCATCCTTGACACCAGAGCGCTACGCCCACCTGTGATGAAAGTCACATCGCGACCGGCCGCCGCTGAAGGACACCTTTTTGTTGACTTGTTTTTACCGCGATATTTACTGACGAGCTGCATAAGTGACGGCTGTTTTTGGTCTGGGTAGGTTTTTGTTTCCCGTGAATTTCGAGTTGTGCTGCGTAGTACCATAAATTGAATGGATTAGTTGGAAGCAAAATAATTGATCTGAAAAGTTGAAAGCATTCACCCTTTGTACTTTCAGACTCTCATTTGTAAACATGTGATGCGCTGCGTTTGCGTTGATTTTCTGTAGATAATGTGCTGTGCAATGCAAACTTCTTTTGTCTTGTAATCAAGAGAGGAATCAGCCAATTTTATCATCAATTGTCGATGGTGATTTTGAGATAGAGGACGTTTGTCCCGGTATATCACGATGTCACCATTCCTCCGGCGACCCCTGCGTCGTCCCGGGCCCGGGGTGGTGCCCCCCCCCCTCCCCGCACCTGCCCACCTGGCCGGCTGCCAGCTCCTGGCACTGCTGACCAACGCACCGCCCGGGGTGCTCAAATCGCGTCGCCTAACACTCGTGCGCTCGTCCCGTCTCCCTGCGCGCCGTATCGCCTCGCTCGTCCCATGCGCCCCGGCGCGGCGCCTGTCGCCAACTGGCCGTATCGTCCGCCGCCGCTGTGTTTATTCCCGGTGAAAGGACAGCTTCTCATGGTGTGATGGGCGGCGGGGCTGGGCTTCAGGATTCAGCTAGCTGCCAGGCCGGCAGAGTCCCAGTGACCGCCAGTGATCTCGGCTGCGGGGCCTGCCCGACCGGTTTGCGAGCCCCCGTGGCGTGGCGCGCGGCGTTGTGCAGTACGGCGCGGACCGTGCTCCAGTGGTGCCGCCGCGGACCGACCGTGCGGCGTGCCGTGTTGTGGTGTGAGTGGCTCGAGGTCGCCCGGCACGTGAACAGTCCGTGTGCCGCGGCGGGCCGGTGACAGGGGACGACTGGCGGACACCCACAGGTGGGAAATGGTCGTCAAGTCTAGCGGGTGTGGAGTAGTCGAGGGGATTGGGGTCGGATGATGTGCTAGGTTTGGCGATAAATAGTTATGATGGTGCGGTTTTATGCATGAATAATGGCGGCAAATGCGCGATATGATGGGTTGATGCATGCCATTTGCGACTCGAGAAATGACTGAAAATCTGATTTTTTAGTTGCCTATCAGTTGTGCTGAAGTCAAATGACGTGAATTGTCAATCAAATGTCTTGCGCGTGCAATTCGGGGTAGTTGCACTGTTACTAGGTACTGTCTGGCATCAATTTTTTCTCGACCGTTAATACGGCCGCTGGAGTCAGGCTCAGTTAACTATACTTTCTCCTCTACTATTTAACGATGTTTATCGTAGTTAATTAACTAATGTGAAGCCAGTTTTCCGACAGACGCACACTGTGATAGCCATTCGGCGTGCCGTTGCCTGCCGTTTCATTATACAACTGCCGGTGGCCACGTAAAGGTCGTCTCTGGGCTGTCGGGTACCATTGACCGGTTCGTGTCCCTCCTGCGCATTGTCCGATCACGGCGTAAAGGGCGGCCCGGTCTGGTGGTCTTGCCGCTTACCGTAATGATAGTTACGGCTAAAGGTTGTCGACGTTACATAGTTGTCTCCATGCGCTCGACAACGCACTACGCAGTCTACTAAAATGGTTGCATGTCTCTGTAAGTCTTGATTTTGTATTTCATCAGAAATGGACGCTTTTTCAGCAACTTTGTTTCCTGTTCTGTTGTGGTACAGGCTACGATGCTTGGCAAACGTCACAGCTAACACCAGTGAAATTTTACCACTGTGCTACGGTTTCTCTCATTCCACTTTTCGCGAGCGCCGATGACCGGTGCATCCCGGTTTTCTTAAAAATCCAATATCCTCTCTTCCGTTCGTCTCATTTCACGATCACCTCACTTTCATTCCAACCCATATAAGGTATCGTCCCGTATAACCACATATGATGGTAACCATTTTCGTCTCTATTTGCAGATTTTCCATTTGACGGACATCCGCTGGGACCGTCCGCGCTTCCTGAGCAAGTCGCTGCTGGGTTTTCTGGCGTTCAACATCATCACGTACAGCCTGCTGGCGGCCGAGATTATCCTCACCACCAACGAGACCGACGAACAAAAGGTGAGGGACTGATGAACCTACGGGCAGGGGGTGAAGGACCAATGGACGTAATGTGAGAGACAGATGAATATAATGTGAGGGATAAACGAACAGAAGGTGAGACTGGTGAACAAAAAGTGAGGCACATACGAACCGACGGAAATAAGCAGGGTGACGGACTGACGAACAGAGGGTGAGGGACATATGAAGTACGAACAGAAGGTGAGGGACCGATGTAGGGAAGGCGAGGGACAGTGTCTGAGAGCGAAGGAGAGCAGATAGGCGAGGAGTGGGCACTTGCGTGAGACATAGGACGCGGAGAGATTATTATGCATCGTCTTAGATCAGACAGGTATTTTAGGATATCACGTATGCTGCTTGATGAGCTGTGTCTAAGAAGATGCTTGCACAGTGCCCAATCTTTGGTGGTTGTTATCCTCAGAGATAGTTCCGATGTGTAATGATCTGAATATAAGGAGATAAGTTGAACAAGAGCCCCAATCGGGGGAGCTATAGATCCGAATCAGGCGAGGCCGTAAGACCTAATGGGCAGTTACGCACAAATCCGTTTGGAGAAATGCAAAGCTGCCGGGGCTTTGCGGTGAAGCGTTTCCCGTGAACAAGCATAAGCAAACGACAAAATTACCGAGAAGAGTCTCTGTAGAGCGGAGGCTGATGGGTGTTTGGGTGTTTGGCTGACGAAACACGGACCTGTGTCGTTATCTTGTCACGGCGTCTTCCAGCCGCGCTGTAATGACTGTCAACCCGCTGCTCCTGTATCCGTTAGTCTGCAGCTTTACTTAAAACTTTGTCATATGTAGAGCTTGCACTTGTTGCAGCATGTTATAGATCATAAACAATCAATTGGGTGACCGGCAAATTCCGGTAATGCATCATGTGTATATTCTTGCATGCCACGATACCTACGATGTTAATCGATAGCTGTTAGTGTATTTGGGCCGATAGTGATGAATTAGGGTGTTCTGCTTTCTCCTGGTCTAAAAGGACGTGTCCGAACCATTCACATACTGAATGACAGATCTTTAGCATCGCAGCTTCGTTGTGCTTCAGTGACCCGGGCCAGAGGGTGACGCAATCTGCTTGGGTTTCTTTTGACCGACTTGGTTTTCATCAATAGGCAGCCATGGGAGTACGGGAGTCGGGTGCTCTTTCGAAACCTGTAATCACTGTGTGTGCTGTTCTGACATTAGTATAGAAATGGGTTGAAAAAATATGCCACGGGGCACTGTAAGCCCGTACTGTAAACACTGGACGTTTCGCCACTTGCATACCGACTGATTTCGTCAGTGACTGTTGACGTCGGCTCCCCAGCGCTCAGTTGCTGTTGTCACGCTCGCTGCAAAGGGATCGGCGTGCAAACGACCTACTGGTAACACTCAATCGGTGAATGATGATGACGCTGTAAACACGCCCCTCATAAAGCACTGCCCGGAATGTCTCGCGGGGACGCCCCTTTCTGAGATCCTGACCGATGCTATGGCTGTCATGGCCGGGACAGTTGGCAGTCTGTCACTATGTAGTGTATGGCTGCCACGGCCGAAGCAGTTGGCAGTCTGTCACTGTGTATGCCTGCCACGGCCGAAGCAGTTAGCAGTCTTTCACTGTGGGGGCACTAATGTGGGCGTGTTCATCGATGCCCGGTCCATTTGTCATACATTGCCGGTAGGCGTGTCCACTGTCCATGTTAGCGTAATGGGTGCGGCCGTGGGCAGTGCTTAGTGTATCATTAATGGCCAATGTTTGTGCGTCCAGCCATGGAATCATGTCACGACCTCAAAAGTGCATTGGAAGTGTTCAATGTGTTTTCATCCCCCTCCTTGTTGTTCTCTTAAATGCCGTAATGCCCGTCCTTAGCTGCCAAACAAACGCACTACAGTGGCAAATATGAGACTACCACTAAGCATTCGGAGAGCTCAGAGCATTGCCAGTCTGTCTTTGCCTCATATTCGCCGTCCCGGAGCCCCAGGGCCCAGTACCTCCGTCGGTCCGTCTCCGGCGCATATCTCCCCGCCCGGCGGACGACAGGCATTGGTCGCTTGCCAGCCGGGCACCGTTATATGCTGCTGGACGACTCCGGGTCCTGACTTGCTGTTACTAGGCGCCCCGAGCCGCCCGCGGCGACGCACCGATATTCGCCATCACGGGTACACGGGGAGGGGAGGGTCCATCGCCGCCGCCTGTGGCCAGCCCCGCAATACTCTATCAGAGCGGACTTTCCGTGTGTTTGAGTGACACTATGGTGTGTGGCTGGGGAAGGGGAGGGGGCTGTAGACGACCTAATCAGTGCCATGCGTGATGCTTGGTTGCGTGTGTGGTTCGTTTCTTCGGGCGCATGTGCGTGACGATTGTGGCTATTTATATCTTCTAGCGTGTTGTTAATTTGGTTTTTTTTTTGTATTTCGTTATGCCACCTCAAATGAAAATAGCTGGTCCATCGAATACTTCGATATCGTGTTCTTTTTTTTTGTCAAAAGCTTTTTGGCTCCAAGCTAGCACGTGAGCTTCAACGACTTCTGAGGCTGCCGCTGACCCAAGAAATTCCCAGCTCTGAAATCTTTTAAAGAAGGTAGAAAGTCGTATGACAGTGACATATAAGCGAGTCCTGCTGAAAGACCATGTCGTGAAGTGTGAACTAGTGATGTCAATTAAGGAAAATCGGAATACCGATACCAAACCAAATACCAACCAAAACCACAGGAAAATACTGAAACCAAACCAACTTTTTACCGATTTCTTAGCCTCTTATACATTAGTTAGGGTTTATGATACCAACAAAATACCAAACACATTACGATTGAAATACCAAATACCAAGTTGGTATCGGTTTGGTATCGGTATACCAAAAAGTTGGTATCCGATTGACATCTAGTGTGAACTCTGCTAGAATTTTAGGCTTTAGCTGTTTGACAAGCCTGCCACGTAAGTTGCAATCACCCTTTGCCCTTGTTTGATGGCGCATTTGATTAAGTTTGTAAAGCGTTGTAAGGTCAATAAATGTCACCAAGGCTTGTGCACCAGTGACCACTGCAGTCAGGGTGACCCTAAAACCAGCGCGTCATCGTCGTCATCAAATGTTTTCAATAACCACCAATGCCCATTTGTGTCACCAATGGCTTTACTCCGTGACGTCATTGGTGATTTCATGACCGTCCATGCTGTGACGTCGCCGGGTGCGGCTGCACCGAGCTCGGGTTGCCATGGCGCCGGCCGACGGACGGGGTCAGTCCGGGGCGTGTGAGAGCGGTCGGCCGGTCCCGGGGATTCCCCTCGGTCCCATCCCGGCCCGGCGCGCTCTCTCACGGGCCGGGACACCTGTACCCGGGCCGGTGACCCAGCGGACAGAGCGAGCCGGGTCGGTAATACGGGCCCGTGGTGGCGGGCTCTGCCTGACACTTCACGGAAGGAGCATAGGGGTTTTGCGTTCGGTCAGCTTTCACCAAGAGCTTAGTTTCGTTCTAGGCTTCTGGACGAATACGCCTTACATAGAACTACGTATCCATTGCCAAGCATCAATTTTGCTACGTGAGAATAATGGTTGGTTTTGCATGTGCATCACATAGTATGTTTCGGAAGGAATGTCTTCAGGAGCTGGGACTGGTTGAGGGATTCTGGTTTATATCTACGTTATGCACTTATGAACTCGCGCCGAGATCGGTTGCACCCGGTTGTCACTTATCTTCAGTTCATTTCAGTTCATATTTCTCATACTTATCTGAACACCTGCCGGCAAGACGACGCCTCCCTCGCAAACTCGGGGCTGGCACACTAAGGACCCAAAGACAGATTGGTATCTTCAGTGTTTTCCATTCCATGCATCACCATGTAGCATTGATGTATCCCCCACCGGCACAAAACAATGCCGAAGGATCCGTGACCCACAAGCCTTTCTCATAAAGCTTTGTCTAGTAAAAAGTAATAGTAAAAAGCACGATTTTACTGTTGACCAGTAAAATTTTGTTTCATAAAGCAAAAATTACTTTTACCTGGAGTTGCAAATTTACTAGGTTACTATAGCGCAGTTTTACTGGTGACCAGTAGGAAGATCCTGGGTTGTGTTTCATAAAAGCACGTGCCGTAGTAAAAAAGTCGAATGACGTTTGCTTTCGTGCTGTCAATTTCACCCTTGCTCTACCTTGCAGTAAAACAGCTTAGGAGTTTTGCTTTTAGCTTTAATTGTACTTTATGTCTTAATGCATGCCCTGAATTTTCGGCATAGGCCTTTTATTGACAAATAACAAACTTCATTTTTTCTTTAAAAACATCTATTGTTGCTAAAACCTCACGATAAATCATATGAAAAGTTGGCTCTCCATCCTGGCAAACTGAACGAGGTCAAGCGTATTTCTAGCAAGCTAATGTGAAGTGGAGATATGTTCAAAACGTTCAAAATGTGAACTGCGATGGATTTTCATTGAAGGAGAGACATTGATTGAAAAAGGACAAGACACACGGACAACGGGCTATCACTGAAACATAATAAAGGAAGACCCAGTAACCGAAGCATTTTCGATGTCGGCATAGAATAAACCTATAGAGCCTTGGAATAAACGCAAGTCCAACATTATCCTACTACTTGAACCTGAACCTGAAGTGAAAGAAACGTAATTGGTCTTGTGAGTACAAAACAAATACGACGCTGAATACTTTGTGGGTGCTGAACACTTAGATGCAACTTGAAGCAAAATAGCGCTCACCGCCGTGACCATTGATGGTTCGAGGGGCACGTTGGAGTATTTGTCCCCCTCTGCAGCGCCCAAAGGTACGAATTTACGCATTTTTCCTCGCATTGAGAGGGAAATCAACAACTTTTATAAGAAGTTTGATTTAAACAGCACAAATAGGCATAATATATCACAATACGAGAAATTTTTGAAAACGCAAAAATGAAGCACATTATTGGGGAGCATGCCTCCCCCAGCATATCAAATAACTTCTGGATCTTCTAATGACTTTACCGGTTGGTCGGACGGAGTCATGCATTACATCAGTGATGCCATCCACTGGGGCTATTGTGTGCGACGTTCTCGTATGCCCACCTACAAGCAGCGTTGTAGGTAAGTGACGGTCAGCTACGAGCGGGATCTGCCGGCTATCGAAGTCATGTGCTCAAATAACTAACCGTGCACACTGCACAGTGTGAAGGAGAAGGCCGACGAGCAAATAGCAACTTTGATCGCGGCGCGGGAGCGCCCGTACGAGCTCATATTGGGCCGTACTGGCGGCACGTGGGAGATATGTTTTCTCGCCCATGTGTTGTAGATACGTAAGTGTCTGTGCGGTTGTGGCTTGTGCGTTTGTAATCTCTGATATAACCAATAACCATGTGAATATGTAGCTACAACAAAATACATGCAACTGAAATGTGATGGGCATTTTTTAAAGCCACGTACATATTTGGTACGGACTAGGCTAGCCGAGGCAGGGAAATCCAACCCAGGGAAAGTCTAGTCCAATCCAGTGCCCGGGTCTGGGGTGTTTCCCTTTCCTTTGCATTGCTCTGTAAATGAAGCAGCTACCGAAAATGAAATTTTAGTGACCAGTAAAACGCCTTTTGGGCGAAGAACGAGCGAGCGAGATAGTGAGCCCTGCACGTGCGGAAGGGCGAGAGGGTGCTTCCAACGGGCTTGCGCAAAGCACCCTTCTAACGGGTCGCTAGCGGTGTGGCAAATTTGAACGCAATCGGCCCAGCCGTTCCTGAGATCTGGAAGCGGCATTCTGCACGTGCGCACGTGCAAACGGGGTCCAAAATGACTTTTGCACGGCACCCTTCTAACTGGTCCCCAACCGTGTACCAAATTTGAGCGCAATCGGCCCAGCCGTTCTCGAGATCTGGAAACGCCCCCTGCACGTGCGCACGTGCAGTAGCACCCTAACCGCAACACATGGGAATACATTGCCTGGTGGGTCCCTACCTGTATGCCAAGTTTCAGCGAAATCGCCCCAGTAATAACCGAGTTACTGAAATGGGAACAAATTTGGCACCTCTTATTGTTGTATTTTGCACGTGCACTGGGGGTGACCCACATGCATCGAGAGTATCCTATTTTGGGTAGAAGGGATGCTGCTACCCTACAAAAATTACCGCAAGTCAATCGCCCAAGCGGCTGCTGAGATATGAGCCTCTCAAAATCACTACTTTTGCAAAACAGCTTGAACACCCTTTACTTTTCACGTGGCACGTGCCACGACGGTCACTGAGATGTATCAAAAGTAGTCAATTACGGGGTAGAAGGGATGGGGCTACCCAACAAAAAAGACCGCAGGCCAATCGGTCCAGCGGTTGCTGAGATATAAGCCTCTCAAAAGCGTTACAGGCCGGGCCGGGCCGGGCCGCTCATACTGAGATTTTTCCGTTATATTGAAAAGACTCACTTCGCTCGCTGCGCTCGCTCGCTCGTAACCAGACGAAAGGTCGCAACAAAATAAATCTCCACATTAAAAATTGAGCTCGAGCCAATTTAGGTCAAAATTCAAAGCCAACTTGATTGCAGGGACCCTTAACTTAATGGCAAGAAGCGCACGGAATGCTGAAATATTTTAAAAGTGGGTGTGCCGTGGGGGCCTGCTTTAAAAACTCCCCCTTCCATCGAAAACAATATCTAGTTGCGTCAGCTATCTCTAAATCGCATGATTCATCAAACATTCGCCGGTTCCTTCATGGCATAAACCGATGTTATTTGATAGCTCGTTCAATTATCGATACGTGGATGCTGGTCCCGTGCCGATCATTGGTCTAGCTACCAAGATATATAGCCAGAACTGCAACGGTGTCTACCGCATTTCGACGGTCAAAATAAAATTAAAAAGATATCTTCCACACGGAGGTCCCATGACTCGTTTTCAAGCGTTACTGAGCTTCGAAATCTTACTCTTTTACTAATTACTTTTCACTATTGTTTATGAGACAGAGGGCAACAGTGATTAGTAAACTTGAAATCACTATTCTACTATACACCAGTAATAGTAAAAAATGTTTATGAGAAAGGCTACTGTAGCCTTTCTGATCCTTGTCGACGTCGACGTTCTGATCCTTGTCATGCACGTTGGGGCGTGACTTTGTAATATCTAGGTCTTACCAGATGCATCTGGTTCGTACTGGCTTGAACCGTTACCGTGAAATGTGTAGCTGTGTGCGTCACTAATACGTGTACGATTAGAGGCAGATAAATGCGAAGCAGCGCTCTCGGACTTTCCGACTTAGCGATAGGCTCTGAAGTACGCTTATTGTTTTTTCGGCCTTTGAGGTGACGTTTTGTTCCTGAAAATATTTTATCACTCTTGAATCACCAATATGCCCGGCTTGATATGTCGAGGTGGTTCTTATTCGCGGATGACCTGGGCAGTGAACCGTGCCTCTATTTCAGGTGGGAAAAGTGCCTGAGCACAGTGATTATCGACACGGGGCCTCTCAGTGGCCATTTTCTGACGACTTTCCCTTCTCGGCGGCTCCCCAGCGACCAATGGCTCGTCTGCGTGTGACGAGAGTGGGCCTATCACCAGATCGTACTGTCGCCTTTGGCTGCGTCTGTCCCACCTGTTGGCCGTCGCCCCGCCCCGTGACCCGCCCAGCCGCTGACCGGGCCTCCTGCTCTCCTCCAGGAGTTCTTCGTCCACGTCTTTAACGGCTGCTACGCGGTGCTGCTCTTCATCGTGGTCGTGTTCTTCCTCATCTATGGCGTCGAGGTGTACTTCAAGGTGAGGTCTGACGCCGCACGTACGCTCTCATTGCTCCCGCCCGCCTGTCTTTGCATGCTGACCCGGAGGCAGCCTTTGGAACGGGGTCGGACGGCGAATCAGTAGTCTGCAGTTCCGCTCTGATGCAATCAGACCCAACTCGTAACCAATTCGCCAACAAACGAGCAAACGTCCCGGCAGCAATATTTGGTCTACGTGACCTGGAAACGAGGTCGTGGTGGCTATATAACACGCCCAGACTAATTTTGCTCCTGGGTTCTGGAGCGCGTTGTGTGTTTGCCTACAATATCTGCAATGGTTTGCCGCTCACAGAAGGCCAAATTGCCGCTGTGATTGGCAACCAGGGAATGAGAGCAGCCTCAGGCTAGCCTGTCGAGGCAGCAGGTGCCATGCGGTGTGGCTAGACTGGTAAAATTGGCTTAGTCGCCGGTGCACCGGAACAGTAAATGCTGCAGAATGACCAGGAGATGATGTTTGTGATGCCCGCGTGTCGTAATAGCGTGATTAGTCTCCGAAGATCTTGAAGTGTGATAACAGCCTCGAAAGGACTTTATTTTATAGACTTCATGGCGTGTAGTCAGAAATCGGAGATATGTCCCAGATGGTTCCAGCAGTTATACGCAGTGCATATCGAGACATGTGCATCTGCGACATTTCGTGGCGCCTCAATAACTCAATATGTTGAGGTACATACATGCTCATCACTTTCTACGGCGTGTTCCTACACATGCCCCGCAATCCGTATGTTCGATGTTGTGCGTTGCGATCAGAACCGGTAAACACCGGAGCATTGGTGATCTGTGATCTGTGACATGTAAACGCTCACAGATATACTGAACTAGAACTAGCTTTTATGCGTGAGGAGAAATTGGCGTCGTTTTGTCTTACCTGAAATTTGCATATGCTACGGTGTCAGAGAAGTCTGCGCACTCGGAGAAGGCGCGGACAATAGATTTGCATGTGATGCCCGTGTATTCAAATTTCACTGTGGCTTGGGTTATAGAGGTTGAACTCCAGTGTGATTCTTCTGCATGAAAATAGAAGAGAGTGAAAAACCAGCTTTCAAATGTGGCCAGAAGATACAGTATTCGAATATTGATTTCAAATTACTGCATATTGTCAGTTGTTTTTAACGCAAAATCCAGTAAATGTTGTCGACAATCGTATGAAATGAACAGCATGACTGCATTGCACAATATGCCGTTCGGGGGCATTGGTTTCTAGCATTGCCTGATCTCGCGCGAATTGGTCGATTCTCTGACCACGCTCGGCCTAATATGAAGTCCGTGACCTTTCCAAAGGCTGCCTCCTGGGTCTGAGTTTTCACCCCAACCCAGCTGCTCTGTACTGACAATGCCTGGCTGCACTGACCGCGCTGTCCACTGCATGTCGCCTGACTCACCGCACCACCCTCAACTGCATGTCACTGCCGCCTCACTGACCTGGGCGCCCCGACTCGGCTTCTGCTCAGCTCACTGCTGACCCGTGCTGCCGAGTGGCCAATCCTTAGCCAGCTCAACCGACAAATACCACTTACCAATCTCCCTATGTCAGCCCTGTTACCCTCATTTTGGTTTTCGCCTGATTGGTTGACATGATCCCCTTTCCTGAATGTCCATGTTATGTAACCGCCAGACCCGTCACCTAAAAAAACTGATACCACCTCTTGCCGCCCCGCTGTCCCATCCTGAACTGACCTTTCTCGATCCTCAGGTGAACCCGGCTCACGACACGTATGACCTGTTCTCTCAGCATCAGCCGAGATACCGAGGTCCTCTGCTGTGTCCCTCTGTCCCTCTGCTGTGATCTAAACTCTGTCCGCTCACCTACCGGGCACCACTCTAGATTTCATCACACCTGCCGGGCCCGCTCATCTTTCCCAGCATGCGCTGGACGTCACACCGTCCCGGCCGTCCCGCGGTGACGGTCTATGTGCGCCGCACAGGTGCGGGGCGGCTTCATGGGCCAGAAGGTGCGGCTGGGCGGCTGCGGCCGACGCGCTGACACCCTGCCGGCGCCGGCGCCGCCGCCGGCCGCCGCACCCGTCTCCACCTCCGCCACCTGGCGGGAGGAGGTGCCCGCAGAGGCGCCACCGGCACCAGCGACGGTAACGACAGGGGAACTAGCTGGGTCTGATTCAAGACACCAACGAAGATCGAATGCTAAGTGAAATTTAATTTGGTATACGACTTAGAGCATTTGCTAGCAATTAAAAAGAAACATGTTTTGAATCTGTATGAAATTATTGAGAAGCTTTCAATTATTATCGAAGACCATCGATGTACTTAATTGAAGCGAATAATGGAGCATCCGTGTCAGAAACTATTCATATAGCGATCCTGCTTTTCCTTCCGATGCTGAATGCGCTGCTTTTTGCACTATGACCTTAACATTGCATGCTCACTTTAACTTGCATTATGCATCCGTGTGGTGAATATCTACCCGACCCGCGTTCTGCTGGGTTTAGCCGACTGAATAAGTTCCGTTTCAGCGTGTTTCTGCTTATCTGCTGACTGGCGGGCACAGTGCTGTGTCCAAGGCGCTGACAGAAAGCTTTCAATGATCAGATTGTTAAGCAAGCCTCCATACCGATTGTATCACCCCAGCAGAGCGCGGACAGACGTATGCAATGTGCGCTGCATGCTGTGCATTGCACCCTTTGCTCATGATCGCTGCTAACATATTTACAGTATACATTGCTTTTGTTTCTCCATTTTGATTTCAAGATAGTTCAGTGTACCAAAGTGTGAAATTATTCAAATGCAAAAGTCAGATGCGTATCAATGTTTATGGTAATTTTCAACAGTGTCAATCCATCAGGACCGTGTTCGCTCCATCAGTCTGCTCTGAGGCCCTTTGTGTATTGTATTGTATTGTATTGTATTACCGTCATGGACAATCTACACGGGGCGTGGTGTGTAACCGATGGATCTGTTCATCGGCAGGTTCGTGGCAAGTTCGTGACCAATAACGGCCAGAAGGTGAACACCTCCCAGCTGCACCAGTCGCGCTTCGGCCTGATCTCGCAGGCGATCATGCTCATGGTGACAGTCTGTTTCCTGTTCAGCGACATCCTCGGCGAGTTCTGGAGATACAAGTGAGTGTCGCTGCCGCTAGATGGCAGGGTGTGTTCCGTCCCGCCGGCGCCGGCAGTAGATTTTCTCCGGGAGCGACGGGGGAAGTTGATCATCCGGTCTCCGTTTGGTTGGGCGAACTTGGATAGTTGTTTGTTTGATGTTGGTCGTTTGCTGTATCAGAGGAAGCTATGGCTCCATGAGAGCTCTAGGGCCGGATTTCCGGTCTCCGTGACCTCTGACCTCTGACCGCTGACCTCTGACCTCTGACCGCTGACCTCTGTCCTCTGACCGCTGACCGCTGACCTCTGACCTCTGACCGCTGACCTCTGCGGCCGCAGGGTGACGCTGGCCAGCCGTAACGTCCACGACCTGGTGTTCCGGATTGTCGAGCTTGGCGTGGTGCTGTGGTTCCCGTGCGTCCTCTGGAACTCGATACGGTACGACCGAGTGGTGGAATGGGACTCAAGGGACCGACTCGGAACTGCCTGTGTCGCGGTTGGATTACCAAGAAGTGTGTAGGAGAGTTCTTTATAATAGTTTAATTAATTGCTTGATCTTGATGTCGAAAGAATGTTGTTCAATGACGCCTACCCTGAATCGCTCCCATAGGCCACTTTTTGCCTTTGACTTATCTGAAACTTCTTTGCCTTCATACCACTCGGATCTGGCCAACGCTACCTACCCATTCCTTGCCTAGCAAGAATGGATCTAAGGCAGCTGGCCGACGAAGCTATGGAACCTGAACCTTTTACAGCCCAGCCCTGACCCGACCTGACCCGACCTGATATGTGTCGCCAGGCCGGAGCAGCTGTGGATCCTGAATCCGAAACAGATCCTTCGTAAACTGGAGTTGGAGCCGGCGGGGGCCGCTGTCGACAGAGATGAAGAGCGGAAACTCCAGGACGCACGTGAGTTAATTCACCCGTGGCTCCCCGTCGAGCTGGATTGGTACAAAATGTGCGTTGTGATGCAGCGTGTTGTGGGAATGTCGGGCTATCCTAGAAGCTAATCAAACATCCGACAGCGTTTGCTACCGAGTGAAACGGACCGACTGCTCTTTCTCTAACACTCGTTCCTCGAGTGCTTTTTGACCAGTCAAGTGTCATGACTCACACAGTTCGAGGATGGAATGCACACACTGAGCCTACACCGCTGCGCGCTGTGTGTTTATTGGGGCGAATCGAGAGCTCCCTCGGCGTTGAGAACTCGCTCGACTAGCGAACAGGTTCCCGTGTTTGACATTTGACGTGTTTATATCGACCTGCGCCCGCCCGCTGCTGCAGGGCGCTTTCCGTGCTCGGGTGGGTGTCAGAGCGTCAGGGAAATACGGTTAGCCTTGTGACGCGCCAGTTGATCCACAAGGTGTTGGGTCGGCCTGATAGATGTAGCAGGGTAGGGTGGGGCCTACCGACTCGTAACGCAGAAATGTTGGGAGAAATCCCAGGGCAGCTGTTCTACTGCCATAGGACTGAGTCATTGCGACCTAGTGTAGTGGGTGCGGGTAATGATAAAAAAACGTTTAGCAGACCTAGTGCGAATTATTAGGCAAACATGTCAATCAGAGCCTCCACTTTCGCGCTAGTTCAGCTCACCATTGCCGGGCCGTTTTTCTTAGTACGCTCTAATTTTATATGGCCATTATGTACAGTCAGCACCTATTTGTGTGTTGTTATGGCGAGTAACCAGCCGATGGTGATTCCCTAATGACAGGCACCCCTACGGTTGTACCGGGAGATGCGCTGGGAGGGAGGTCTGATTCTGACCCGTGCGCCCCCGGGTGACCCGCAGAGGCCAGCGGCGTCAGCTGCAGTCAGGAGTCGCTGGTCGAGTGCTGGGTGTGCTACGACACAGAGGTCACAGAGCACAGCGGCCCGCTCATCCAGCCGTGCGAGTGCCGCGGCAGCACCAGCGTCGTGCACCACGACTGCCTCAAAAAGTGGCTCATGGAGGTGAGAGAACAATGGAGGAAACTTTTTTTCGTTGTATTCGGTTCAGTCACTGTCTGGGTGCCTCATGTACTTTCCCTTGCATCCTCGCCCCATTTCCAAGCTCGCGCAGCAGCTAATATCCGGCTGGGAGTTAACCGGATTACTAGCGCTACCAAACTACCAACAACTTACAAGGCGGAAAGCTGCCCCGGGCCGTTTAATCATCCGCTGCACGGGAGCTCCAGACCGGGAAGGGAAGGTCTGGATCGGCCGGGGACAGTAGCGGTGAGCTGTCCTCGGTCATCGGTGGACGCGCGATTGGCCAAAATTTGATTGTGAAGGCTGATGTCATGAGATTGTGTCCATTGTCTTCTGCCGAGAGTTCCGAACGATTTCGGTTATTTGTCTGTGTGCGTTCGAGGATACGGAACCTCGGGTGCATTTTGCGATTTCTGAGTGATACCCTGATGATTTACGCCGCTTGGCCGATGGCAACCACGCTGTCTATGGCTGGCATCGTGATTGGTGCTTTTGCCCTTACCGAACGCCGCGACGTCGTTGCTGCCTCCTGTCCTTCTGTCCGCCGTTGCCTGTCGTCTGTCCGTTTACCTAACACCCGTATCGGCCACTGTATGTTTACAGTGCAGCGAGACGGAGCTGGGCCAGCTACACTGCAAGGTGTGCGGCTCGGCCTACCAGCTGGAGTCGGGCGGGCGCGCCTGGCTCGGTCGCGGCCTCACCGTGCGCCACTGGCTGCAGACAGCGGTGCTGGTCACGGTCATGTGCGGCGCCGCCGCCGGCTGCTGGGCCGTCATGAGGTTCTACCTGGACGCCGGCATCCGGACGGCCGCCGTCGGATGCGTCATCATCGTCTACTACGTCTGCCTCAGGTAGGGGCCGGTGGGAGGAGTGAAACGTGCGAGGACTCGGTTATTGACTACGTTCACGGGTGTGTGGGTGCATCTGGTTTCATTGGCAGTGTGCGTGTGGGTGCTCTGATTGCTTTTGAAAACTTGTGTGATCGTCGCTGAGTTTGAAGTTAACTTTGCCTCTCGGAAGAGACACTCTACATATAAGTTGTGGATTTGGAGGCCTGATTTGCGTAGCTGGAGCGCAAAACGTGAACAATTGTTCATCAGGCCTCCTTTGTAATACGCTAATGGAGGCAGGTACCACAAAGAAATTTCATTAGCAGGGAATATTCCGCTTCTTTTGATAATTGTTCCTTGCTTTTTCAGAGTTGCTGTCGGCTTTCGATTTAATATGTAAATGTGACTGTTGTCTCGCATTTACCCGGGGGATAGCGTGTTACTGCAATTCCGTTCCCACATAGTTCTCGTCGTCGGTGAAGTCGGAGCGCTGTCAAAGTCTTGTCTGTGAACTATTTCCGGAGAATTTCTTTTTGAGCAACGATACTGATTGAATGTTTTAAGCAAGTTAATTGCTTACGGCTCATGGGACTATCCTGGCAATTGAAAGTTGAGGGATTGGAATCGACTACTCCTACGTTGGAAATTTAACTTTTTGAAGAGAAATGAAAAAGAAAGAAATGTAAGCGTACTCTGTCGCAAGCATACGTATCTCTGGCGTTGCGCTTCTGATGTCGCTTGGCATATTGGATGGGCATAACTTTCTCGTCGAATGGCTGTTGGGTCTCGGGAGCTGTCAAAGGCAGACCTGCCTGTTGGAAAATATGGCGGCAGCCAATAGATGCATATTCGTACTTTGTGGGGTTGTGATGGCCCAGACATGCAGAACCGCCCTGGGACGGCCCCGACTTTGAGTGGAACTAATGTGTGGAAGCGAGCTAGATGTATCGCTTACTTTCACAAATTGAGAGACGTGGTATGAAATGACGAACCATTTCAGTTGAGTTACTAATAGTTATGTTATATTTCTAAAAGGGTGACGCAATATATTATGCACTGCCAATTATATGTGTCAATGCCAATACCACTGACAATACAAAAAAAAAAAAAAAACGGAGACTGCATTTGTTCAGGGCTGTTAGGAGCAATAAGCAAACTCGTGTTTCTCGGGCCCTCCGACCCGTTCGGCTGTATATCTAAGATTGACTGACCCGCCCCGAGTCTCGGCTCTGTGACGTCGCCTGTCACGGGGCGGGGTCCGGTGACGGCGGGTCGGGGTGACCCTGACCGGCCCGGTCAGGGTCACCGGCAGGTCGCCGGCCCTCCGGCGCCGCGGCGACCCGGGCCGGCAGTAAACCGAACGGTTCAGTTCCGGTCAGTGGCCGAGAGTCGCCGCTCAGGCGGAGGACCAGCCCGCTCCCGTATATGGACCCAACACGACCGGCCGTGCGCCCTCCTCGACCGCCAGATAGACAAAGTTATGCCCGAAAAATGATCAAAACCTGCCGGCGTAAAACGTAAAACAATAGCGCAGTCGCCGCGCGGGACGTATGGGCCGCTTAGGCGATCTCGGGGGAGCGTATCGGTACCGAGTGGACGGGTTTATTGGTATCCCGGTCCGGCTGATGCCGTCTCGTGTGGTTGCACTTGTCGCGTTCTATTTCCGTATTTCATTCTGAGTGGCGCCCGGCATAAAACGTTGGCGGAAATTTCTCGTGAAACACGCTAAGCGGATTTCAGTGTCGTCCTCGAGAACGGAATGGACTCCTGTCAGACCTAGGCTGAGCCTGGAAAAATGGACCGGCCGAAAACGGTTGAATTTTCTTGAACTGCTGTAGGTTTTTACATATTTGCATACGACGAAAGCCACCTGCCATTATTCGGGAATGTTTTCAATCATAGTGCAATTAAGAAAATAACCCGCTCATCAAAAGGAAGAGTATGTGATGTGGTCGGTTGGTTTATTCCATGATGACCCTGACCAATGACCATAGACTGTGCCCTGACCGATTGATAGTTTTATTGTGCTGAACCTTGACTGTCATGCCCTAACCGGCAGGCTTCTAGGGCTGCACGATGGGACCCTGTGTATCCTGACCAATAGGTATCTGTTGCTGAATTATCTGACCCCGGTGCTCCCTGACCGGCAGGTTTCTGGGGCTGAACTGTCTGACCCCGGTGTTCCCTGACCGGCAGGTTTCTGGGGCTGAACTGTCTGACCCCGGTGCTCCCTGACCGGCAGGTTTCTGGGGCTCAACTGTCTGACCCCGGTGCTCCCTGACCGGCAGGTTTCTGGGGCTGAACTGTCTGACCCCGGTGCTCCCTGACCGGCAGGTTTCTGGGGCTCAACTGTCTGACCCCGGTGTTCCCTGACCGGCAGGTTTCTGGGGCTGAACTGTCTGACGGCGGTGTTCCCTGACCGGCAGGTTTCTGGGGCTGAACTGTCTGACCCCGGTGCTCCCTGACCGGCAGGTTTCTGGGGCTCAACTGTCTGACCCCGGTGCTCCCTGACCGGCAGGTTTCTGGGGCTGAACTGTCTGACAGCGTCGCAGCGCGCCCAGGTGTCGGCCGTGAAGATAATCGGTCGCCGGCTGTCCTCGCTCAGCCCGGCCGGCTCGCCGCTGCGCCGACAGGCCAAGCCCAGCGTGGCCGTGGTGGCCGACGACCGGCGGGTGGACGTGCTTCTGACGGCCTCCGGCACCGACCGGCTGCTGCCCGCGCACGAGACGCCCATCTGAGGCGGCCGCGGCGCCCCGACCTGTGACGACGAGCGGGCCGCCGCCGGCCAGAGGACCAGTCATGTGCCGGTGAATCGTTCGCTGCGCCCGGCGCCGGGCCGACTAGAGGCGGTGGTGATTCGGACAGAGCCGGGATGGGGTGGCTCGGGGGTGTCTCTCGGACGCTGGTCGCGCCGGCCGGCCCGTGTCGGGCTGGCGGGCCAGACGCCCTGATGGCGACGAGTGGGGCCACTTCCACCCGCCCAGCGACAGTGATTACCAGCCCCGGAGGGCGCCCTGTGATCAAAGAAGATTGTCTTTACTTTATCTGGTGAGAGTGCCAGGAGCCGCACAGTATGGTAAATTATTGTTTGCTGCGGGCTGACCAGCGGTTGTACGTGTACAGAGCTTGGTTTTGGAACTCCTCAGCTCAGAGGAGCTGGGCGCAGTTGAGCGAATGCGTGGAGTTGTTGAGTCTGCTTTGTCTTTCAGTTCATCGCCCCCTTTCAATCGATCCAGAAGGTAAATTGTAAGATGGTCCTTGGGGTGTAATTTGAGAGATCGAGTGTGTGGTCTGATCCTATCACGGTATTCAAGAAGAATAAACCAACGTGAGCTACTTATGTTTTTGCGGAGGTACTGTGGTATGTCGATGGTTGGAAAGGACATATAAGGGTTGTCTTTCAAAGCTGTTTGACGATGTATATTTGCGATCGATCATGATTGGGCAGGAGCTGAGCGATTAGGTTTAGGTGTAACGTACATACATTAGTCAAATGGACGGAATTCATGAAAAGACTAGGTACTATTTTTTTCCTTTGTAGAGATGGTGAATGGAATGTGAATCATCTTGTGATCTTATTGACTGACATCCGAGCCCATGAAGGAAGGCGTTATGTGTACCGCTGGCTGACGTCAGTCGTCAACTAAGGTATCTACGCACACATTCACAGAAACCATATCAAGGAGCACATGGCGTGTCTGCTGAAGACAGTCTCAACGAGTATCTGTTTATTTATTTATTTATTTATTTCACATCATGAGGCAATTCCACCGCATGCAGTGGCTATTCCATGCCTCAAGTCAGTTGTGTAATGGAAAGAATGACTGATCTCAAACATGCACTCATACGTACCAACATACAATCATACAGTCGCACCGCATCAGGGATTTCAGTCGGCGCGCTTTAACTGCCGGAGATGGTCCCTCAGTTTACGCTTAAACGCTGAATGACTAAGAACACGCAGACTGACCGACAGCTCATTGTACCCGGATACAGCAGCGAACATGAAGCGACGCCGTCCCGACTCAGATCGAATGGCGGGAATGGCAAGTAACTCACTGTCGTGTTCCCCTATCACTTACGCTGCGCCTGGTAACTAGGTTTTGGGCCAGGTGTTGTGGTTCGGAAGTCGTTAATATCTTGTTCAGCACAGTCATGTTATGATACCTGAACATGCTGTCTACGCTGAGCCAGCCCAGGTGATCTATGACATCGCTGATACTGTCGAATTTCCTTCGACCTGACACCACTCGAGCCGCGAATCTCACCACTTTCTATAACCTTCTGCGCTGAGTTACGTTGCTGGACCCGTACACACACAGACAGTAACGGAGCACAGAGAACACCAGGCCCTGGACCAGCGTCACTAGCACCGACTGTGGGAGGCTGTGCCTACTGTGGCTCAGTCCACTGAATTAGTTCATTCACTGCTCGAAAGGTAGTTGAAGACGGAGCAATGTGTCATGTTTGCCTGTCATAGAGTGGGATAGCCGCGTATCACTCGCTAAATCAGCATGCTAACGTTAATGAAGCTGTTGAAACGGACGGCTTCCGATGTTCATAACACATTTGATGCCGTAATGACTTCAAGCGAACACAGAAACAGCGAACAGAAAAGGAATGTGTGATTATGAGCCACGTAGCGACACACGGCAAGCAGCATTCGGAAGAGCGTAAAAAATAATGACGGAAATACTTCGGTACTTTTTAGGTCAGGTCACCAATGGTCGTCAAGAGGTCAAATTTTGTCCATATCAACCATATGTAGAAGCATCCGACGAAAAACTCGGGAACCAATAGTGCTGCAGCGCCGCTGAAAAACGCATTCGATAGCTCTTTTACAGGCCTTCTTGAGAAGGTATTGTTCTCAGATTTCACCTCAGGTCAACGCTTAGCCTCAAGAGGACAAAAACTCTAAAACCGTTTTTAAGAAATGTGTGGTTTTTCGGTAATAACTTTTGACTCGAGAGAGCCACGACATTACTTTTGGCAGCATCGTTTTCCTATCGCCGAGACGCGTCAAATGAACTATAAGCTGAACTTGAAAGGTCATTTCGAAAATTTTACATGAGGTTAAACCTGACCGGAAAGGGTCATGCTGTATCAATCGATCTGTATCGTCGATCTGAACACATTTTTGACGTGTTTTCACCGCTCTAGCACGTCTATCAAAAGTAATAGCAAAAATATTGATGGTGACCTTTCGTAACTTGAGATTACCTCAGGGACACACAAAGGGGTCACGGGTACCATTTTTCAATTCAGTGTGTCATGTTTACCTTTAAATCGATGTTTGAGAGTGTTTAGAACGACATTCGTCCAAAAGAGTCGTATTTCAAGTTTCTCCCTTTGCCTTCTGGTAATGGAGAGTCGCAAAATTGACCTGACCTTAGGTCACAGATATCGAAATTGCGAGATATAGATCAAATTCGGTGTTAATTTAGGCTCCCTCATAAAGAATATCCATTGCGCCCCGAAACGGCCGGCACTCCTACAGCTGGGCAGTGGGCACCCACAATCACTTTAGGAAAATGACACCCCTGCAAGCCTTTGAACTTTTTCTGAGGTAAGGTCACTTGACTTGACCTAGTGACCTGACCTTGAGCGACCCGGGCTGAATTTTTACAACATAGGTATACAGAAAAGATGTAAGAACAGGTGTACCAAAAACGGCGGCGCTGTTTTTTAGATATTCGTGAAAAATCTGAGAAGGGAGGGGGCGTGAAAACGCCTCCAGCACGGCGCGGGTCAATGAGGAACGGAATCAACCTATCATATTAGCGCAATGCATCGATATTTGAACCAATACAGTTTCGGATCAGACTGCAAATAGAGATAAAATGAAATGGAACTAACGTGATGAGACTATAAAAGTAAGAATGAAGCCAATAACTAGGTATTATTCATTAATCTTTATTGGACCCATTTTTTAATTATTTCAAAAGTCATGTCACAAAATGATTTGCCCTGAAAATAAATGGATCAGTAGGGTAAGGTGCCTAATTAGCGACCCCCTTAATTTGAACCGTCATTGCTCACGCTCTGTGGGTGCCACTGTATTACTGGCTTGATTTTCGGAGAGGTCGTTCATTTTTCTATTAAAATATATTCATTTTCTGTCCCAATATTCACTAACTTATTTGTAGTGAGCATTTTGGCAAACCATTGCAAAAAACGCTAATAGGGAACTCTTCCCGATTAGCGACCGGGGAGGGTCGCTAATAAGTCTATGGGTTTCCCCATATTAAAAATGGCAAAAAATGCGACGCCTGAAAAGATGAAATATGATCTCAAAAAGGTAACCTATACGCAAAGCACTCAATCACTCGAACAGGAACGTTCATCCAACACATTTACGTAAGTAAAAACTGATCACGTGATGCACCGAAGGCGAAAAGAAGGCAGAAACCCAAATTTTGCGGGCTATCTCGTATGATATTCGAGGTCCGCGCTGAATTCGGCACCCCTGCAGTCGGTGACGACATTTGACATCCCCTGCCACACATTGCAAGCTTCAGCAACACCTCATTTTCATTTATCTCTTTTCCCCTTTCTTTCCCTTCTTGAGCTATTTGCGACCATGTCAGGCGCAAATAGGAAATATGAGTTGCGACACATTTTTAACCGCCATGCTGTGCACAGTTAAGCGATTCACTATGGGAAAACGGCAATCAATTGAAAAAGGAATGCCGATTCAGAAAAAAGGTGCATCATCCTAATGTGCATCGCTTTTCATCAGAGAGGGCCGAAACACACACGTTTTGGATAAGAAACTCGTCATTTTTATTTAAGCTCACCTGAAACGTCCCACCAGAAACATCGACAACCGTAAAATAATTTAATTTGATAACCAAAGTATTGCTGACCTTTTGACGATGTTTTTACCCCGTTTTCTCCCGCCAGTTTTTCTGTAGGGAGGTAGGTCGCAAATCGGAAAAGGTCGCTAATTAGGCACCTTACCCTAACGTTATTTGTGCCATTTTTTTCGGTCACGCTCAGGCGTTCGTTTGGAAGCACCTCGAACAAAACGGTTACTTCACCCATGCCCACCTCAGGCATAACAGGTCATCAGCCAAAAAGCTGGCGGAATGTAACCAAAGAAAGAACCCCTCCGAAAGCTAATCATGTTTCGTGCAAGCATACCAACAGAAATAGAGTAAACAGGTCGGCCGTGATTGATTCGGGTCGGCGACGAAAACAGGCTGTCAGCCTGTTTGCGGCGGCGGTCTCCGGGCGCGGCGCGGACAGGTGCTGACGGCTGTCAGCGGGCCGCTGACGGACGCAGAGTGAGCCGTCATCAGCCGAGCCACCGGTATAAAATGGCCGCGGCCGCCGGCGGGCTCAGGCACGGTCTCGAGGCCGCCCGTCCTCTGAGCCGCGATGGTCAGCAGGTGGCTGCTGTCGGCGCTGGTGCTGGCCGCCGTTCTGGCCGGCCTGCACGGCGTGCCCTGCTCCAGGAGCCCGTCTGGGGACCATCTGTCCGGCTCGCGCCAGGTCGCGGAAGGTGAGCTACAGGTGCTAGCACTGCACACTCGAGCTGAAAACCGCAGCAGAACTTAACCCGCGCGGGGCTGGGGGGGGTAAATTTTACCCCCCCTCGCGAATTTTTGCGATATCTCAAAAACCGCGGCGCGCAGCGCCGCCAAACTTTCAGTACCTTTTCTTACATCAATTTGACACGTTCCCTGAAAATTTGAGCGAAATCCGTCGGAAAATTTTTGAGAAATTGACGTTTTAGTGACGTCATGTTCGCCATTTTCGCCTCAAAAACGGCAAAAGTTCAAACGCCGCTAACATCTTCATTTTTAAAGGAATCAAGACGTAACAAAAAAGGTTATACGTAATTTTACTTTGTCTATCAAATGGCTATCTCGGTTTTTTGAAAATTTTGGATTTTGGCCTAATTTTTTTCAAAAAACTGACTTTTTTGGGAAAATCATTATAAAATCCAAAATTTTGAGTCTATCGAAAAAACCGGAATATATGTCAGAGAAGTGGTCTATGTGCACCTACATACCAAATTTTAGAAGAATCGGTCCAAAAATGTGGGAGTTATTCAAAATTTTATGACGTCACGACACACAAAATTTTTGAAAAATGACTTTTTTGGAAGTTCTAGACCTCGTACGGAAACAAAAATAGCACCATTCGATTCGCCGTGACAAACTGCATCAGATAGACACCTTTTTAAGCCTTAACAACCAACTTCAAAATTTGACCTCACTTGACCTGACCTTGACCTGACCTCGACCTGAAATTCATCCAGAGGTGGTCCATATCACTTATTGAGTGTGCCTATTGAATTCTATGAGTAAAATGACCCATAAAACATGTGTCGCACATGCCCTTTTCTATATTTTGTTTTTTTGGTGACCTGACCTGACCTGACCTGACCTTGACCTTGACCTCTGAATGATATTGTGTGCAACGAATATTGTCTTGGTAGCCTAAGAACACGTTTTGGGCGATCAGTCTCAGTCCATGACTCCATTCTTCGGCAACTACGGTGCAAGGCCGATACTGTAGAAACTTGCAATTTGTACCCTTGACCTGACCTTGACCTTGACCTCAAAATTTAAATTAAGTACATGTTTCTAGTAGTTCGTGATGAGAGCTTTCGATTGGCGTTTGAATTTTCCAAATCGGACCATTAGTTCGGGAGATAACAGGGGGGGTAAAATTTACCCCCCCCCCCAGCCCCGCGCGTTCGGCTGGAGACCCCAGCCCCGCGCGGGTTAATACGAGCCGAAAGGCAAAGGTGGTAGTCACGGCGAACCGCTGCAGATTAGCCAGCATATAGGGCTAGAATGCCTATAATGTTTGACTTGTGTTGTGATGGGAAAAGACGCTGGAAACCAGCCCTGATAAGCCCTGCCCTGATAATACTAACTTACTTGAGCTTGTTATAGAATTAAGGCATCTAGCGCCACGGAGAACATCGCAGAGGCGGAATAAGCGCTGAACATGATGATTGATGAGGTTAGGTAGGTACTGAAACCGAGGCTAGGAAGTATGGTGTGATACCGTAACTGGGTGAACTAAGACCAATCGCTGAACTGACAAGACAAACACCAATCGAATATCACACATAATTCCATCTGTACCTATCCGGCAGGACGACCCTGCTCCGGATGTGGCAAGACTAGCAACGGCCGAGCGGCAGTGGAAGAGTTCTCTGGTCACGGCAGCCTGCCCGGAGGCTGCTCCCACGCGGCCGGAAAACCCTGCTCCAAGTGCACCAAACGCTCCCGTAAGTTGCAACTTGCAAGTGCTGTTGGTAGTGTGCTATTCCAGTTGTCATTGTTTGAGATCCATGGTGATTTGTGACAGAGTCTTGCAGAAATTATATGCGCACGTTTTGTGACAGTGATTCACGCAACTGTGAACTGGGTTATCTTTAGTACCTACCTACTAGCCGTTTTCACGACGGGCTATCCGGCGAATGCACCTGATTTGACCAAATCTGCACCTCATTTCTTTTACAGCAAATATCTTCATTTCATGAATTTATTTCAGTGTTTTAATCGATGATGCTCTCTGATAATATGACAAAGCAGGCATATAAGCAATTAGTGCAACCCTATAGCTGATAGCTGCTAAGAGACACACTGAACCTGATTTGACAAAATTTGCACCTGATCTGTACCAGATGTGCACCAAATGTGTACTAGAGATGTCAATCGGATACCAACTTTTTGGTATACCGATACCGAGCCGATACCAACTTGGTATTTGGTATTTCAATCGTAATGTGTTTGGTATTTTGTTGGTATCATAAACCCTCACTAATGTATAAGAGGCTAAGAAATCTGTAAAAAGTTGGTATTTCCCTCATGTTCCCAAGTTGGTTTGGTTTGGGTATTTTCCCGAGGCTTTGGTTGATATTTGGTTTGCGGTATCGGTATTCCGATTTTCCGTAATTGACATCACTAATGTGTACCAGATGGCCGCCGTGAAAACGGCTATTACCTACCTGCACCTATTGTCTTCTTGTCATGTCTCGTCCTGGAATGGAGTTAGTGAGACGCTCGATCACTGTCGTTTAAGAACTCAACTAGTGTCTTTGTCCTTGTGACCTTGGCCTCGCTTTGCAAAATGACTCATTTGTTTAGTCTTCTCCCCGGGATAATGTGATGTCACATCGGGCGATACATTATCCGATTATCCGCTCACAAATATAACACTTGAATGATATTTCAAGCGCACAATCCATTCAACAGGGCGAAGGTCAAAGAGCGGCGGCAGCAAGAAATCACGCCGAAAGAGCAAGAAAAGGAGCCGAAGATCTACGAAGAAATCAGGTGAGCCTACTCAGTTTACGCGTATCTAATGGGCACCACCATAGTATGCCTATCCAATTTCATCCATATATATAGTATTTGTATGGATGTAGGTAAAGAAAGAACGCTATTTTTGTTAGTTATTGTAAGTCTGAAAGATAAGCAATCTAGTGTGAATGATACGATCTGATTTTGCCGACAAAACCAACAATGAAGACTGATTGAATACGATAGTGCACAACCATGAACGCATTTGGCCTTGAAACATATGGGTAAAGCAGCAGAATTAGGTACAATTAATAAAGCGTTACCTACATGTGTTAGATGGTATGTGTGGTAGGTAGGTACTGACGACGAACGGTTCACTGGTCTGTCCCAACCAGGTCGGAGCTGCGCTCTTTGCGGGAAGAGCTCCTGCCGCCGAGGGAAGGGTGGCTCCTGTCGAAGTCGATCCCGATCGGCGTCCGGAAAGCGTTTCTCCGGAAAGACGTGCACAAAATGTGGCGGCCGCAAACGTAAATGAATGCTCATCAGTCATCAGCAATAGTCCTCTATAATAAGAAAAAATTAAAACTGAGCATCAATCGTAGTGTATACCTTGGTGACTCCTTCAGAAAATGCTCTGTAGCAGAATCTACAGTCTATAATGATGCATTTTACATTTAAAAGCAAAACTTACACGACAGAACGTTGGGAACACATATTTTATTGAATTTGAAAGCAAAGAAGGAAAACAATAGACGTTTTATTCGAAAGGTAATGAAACCGTAATTATTTACAACTACTACCTGCCCAAGACTAATCAGGTTCCAAAGGATCAAACAGATAAAATAAATGACCAATGTTGCGTCGTGAAAAGGATTTATTTTGTACTTACTGTCACTATAATTTTTTCATGCATTTATTTAGTAATTTCTACAGGTTGAGCTTAAATGTTTATGCGAGAACATAATTGTGAGAAACTCTAAGCACTGGACTAATGTTGCAGGCCGGAGATCCAGCAGTGGTAAGTTCAAGAAAAGCGAGAAGTTACAAGTGAAAAAGAGGCGCCAGTCCAGCAAAGGAAAAGGTCAGTCCTTGTTCTGGGATGCATCCTAAAATTTTAATAAAGCGACATGAGAACGATATGATTGTTCGCACATTCATCAGCTGGCATTGATTATCGTTTCCTGAAACCAAGAGTGAATCCATTCTGAGTGTCGCTTAAACCCCACTGTCCTGCTTTTGTTCAATTTGCTTTAACCCGGCGGCCGCTGGGCCTCCGCGCCACCTGCCAGCCGCTGGGGGGGGGGGGGGTATATAGCTGCTCCCTTTACTCCTCCGACAATATCGTCGCAACGCAAAAAGATAGAGGAACGAAACTTTCTTTGCACACATGTTCCTGAATACCTAGCCGAGGTTGTGTCCAAATTTGGTGTCGATCCCAATTGAAATGACGTCACAGTGACTTCATGGGAGCTCAATTATAGATTTGCGTCTCTGAGTTTCCTCGCGATATATTCGACATATGAGACCGAATATATAGGACAGATAACTGGTCAGGATCTAAGTGAAAGTGTACTCGGATGTGTAGGAATGACAGCAGGTGCATTGGAATGACAGGTGTCCATTCGGCATTGGATCATTTACCGTTGCGATTCGTGCTCAGCGACATCAGAAACGCTCCATATCGGGAAACAACAAAACTTCATGACGTCATTGTGACGAAAGTGCTAAAACCACGAAACTTCCTCAAATATGACCTAGGTATTCATTTGAAGCTATGCCAAGTTTCAGCTTCGTATCTCATCCGGTTTGGGAAATATTACACCAAACGTAAAGGGGGGCAACTTTATGCCCCCCCCCCCCAGCGGCTCGTGGGTTAAACACTTACACATTCAGCTTGCCTGTATGCCAGGCCCCATGTAACTACTTTTATTCATGTTCCACAGGTCGGAGCTGCGCTTCTTGCGGGAAGAGCTCCTGCCGCCGAGGGAAGGGTGGCTCTTGTCGAAGTCGTTCCCGATCGGCGTCCGGAAAGCGTTTCTCCCGAAAAACGTGCACAAAATGTGGCGGCCGCAAACGTAAGTGAATGCCTAACGAAGTGAGATCGTCATTAAAGTCAATTAAGCTAAATAGTCATCCTTCTACAAATATGTACAAATTTCTCCTAAAAGTGCCATTCGGCATTGGAATCCATAGGCATGAAATACAATGTTAATTCTTTTATTACGAGCGAGCGAGCGCAGCGAGCGAAGCGAAGTCTTTTCAATATAACGGAAAAATCTCAGTATGAGCGGCCCGGCCCGGCCGTAACGCTTTTCGCTGGACCGATTGGCCTGCGGTCTTTTTTTGTTGGGTAGCCCCATCCCTTCTACCCCGTAATTGACTACTTTTGATACATCTCAGTGACTGTCGTGGCACGTGCCACGTGAAAAGTCAAGGGTGTTCAAGCTGTTTTGCATAAGTAGTGATTTTGAGAGGCTCATATCTCAGCAGTCGCTGGGGCGATTGTCTTGCGGTAATTTTTGTAGGGTAGCTGCATCCCTTCTTTCAAAAATAGGATACTCTCGATGCATGTGGGTCATCCTCAGTGCACGTGCAAAATACAGCAATAAGAGGTGTCAAATTTGTTCCCATTTTAATAACTCGGTAATTACTTGGGCGATTTCGCTGAAACTTGGCATACAGGTAGGCACCCACCAGGCAATGCATTCCCATGTGTTGCGGTTAGAGTGCTACTGCACGTGCGCACGTGCAGGGGGCGTTTCCAGATCTCGAGAACGGCTGGGCCGATTGTGCTCAAATTTGGTACACGGCTGGGGACCGGTTAGTAGGGTGCCGTGCAAAAGTCAGTTTGGACCCCGTTTGCACGTGCGCACGTGCAGAATGCCGCTTCCAGATCTCAGGAACGGCTGGGCCGATTGCGTTCAAATTTGGCACACCGCTAGCGACCGTTTAGAAGGATGCTTTGCACAAGCCCCGTTGGAAGTACCCTCTCGCCCTTCTGCACGTGCAGGGCTCACTATCTCGCTCGCTCGTTCTTCGCCCCGCGCCCGAAAGGCGTTTTACTGGTTTTAATATTTGATATTTTAGCCAGCAATGAATGTTTATCTTGTACTTGCTTATACATTCTTTCAAGACGAATTCTGTTAGCACCTAAAAATCACATTAATACAAGGTACCGATGTCACAGGCCGAAGATCGAGCAGTGGTAAGGTCAAAAAGAACGAAAAACCACAGCTGAAAAAGAGGCGCCAGTCCAGCAACGGAAAAGGTAAGTACTCTTTAACCCGCGCCCCGTTGGGCTCTGCCGAGCAACGCGCCCCGTTGGGGGGGGGGGGGGCAATTCGGCCCCCCCTAAGATCTCGAGAACCACGCAACCTAGCGGCAAGCGGCAAACGGTGTTGGATAGCCCTATCAGGGCTATCCAATGACTATTTACCTTGTGACCCAATTTTATTGACCTAGGTCAAACCGATGACGTCACAGGTCAGGTCAAAGGTCGAATTTTCACCGTTTACAGGCATTTCAAGAAATGCGTTGTAAAATCGAGTAAAATGCATTTCATTGAAAATCATCGATGGGGAAATAAATGTTCTTCAAACACATATTTTGCTATTTGAGGTCACTGATACCAGGTCAGGTCACAGAGGTCAGGTCACGGGGGGTCACAATATGAAAGTGTCGTGTGATACATGTTTTATGGTCCATTTTACATGACAAATGCGATTATGTGGGTCAGGCAGACTTTTGGGCCAGCTTAGGTCACGTTTTGGTCAAGGTCAGGTCAAGGTCAGGTCAAGGTCAGGTCAAATTAGGTCAAATTTCAAAGTTGATATTTTGCATAAATGGGTATCGATTCGATGCAGCTCGTCACGGCGAGTTCAATGGTGGTCTTTGTTTTACCTTCCGTGGTCTAGAATCGCTAAAAATTGAGTTCAAAAATTTGACGTCATCATTTTTGAAGTTTTTTTTTTTCGCTATAACTTGTCCAAAAAACGAGGTATCGATCTGAAATTTGGTATGTATATAGAAGAGCACAGGAACTATCATATATGTTCCGTTTTTCGAAATTCGGAGTTTTTTTTGATTTTTTTAGTTTTTCTTAAAAATCAATATTTTGAATTTTTGGGGGTCAAAAACCCAAAACTTTGTAAATCCGAGATAGCAGTTTTGTAGCGCCGCTTTGTGTCTACTAGACCATATAAAGAACTTTGAAATAGCTTGGTAACTGTAAATTTGGTGAGCGTTTCAAGATTGCATGTTTTTTGCTCATTTTTGCTCGAACATGACCTCAGTTTGACCTCAATAACTCCTGACCTGAGGTGACCTAAGACTTGAAATTTGGTGTGAAGGTGTCAAATTGATGCCCGGGAAGGTACTAAAAATTTGGCGGCGCTGCGCGCCACCGTTTTCTTGCTATTCAGGAGAAACCACAGGGGGGCCAAATTGCCCCCCCCCCAGCGGGGCGAGGGTTAAATCAGCATGGAATCATGGAACGTGCGAATCTGCAGCGAAACACAAATGTATGTACAGCCAAGACCTCTCTGAGAGCTCTATCGGGCGCTGGAATAAGCCCCTGTCTACATATAGCTTTCTCCGCACTGTTCGCTGCTGCTCCCCACTTCCTTATGTCGGATGCCGCCCTCCGACAGGTCGTCCTTGCACTTGCGGCAAAGGATTCAACAGCCGTCGGAAGCGTGGATTGGGCAAACGCCGGTCCCGGTCAGCATCGGGCAAACGCCGCAGCTTCTTCGGGAAAATGAGCAACTGCGGTGGCCGCCCACGTGAGTAGACGCAGGGTGCAAGTGAGTAGACGCTTAGTGACCACGTTTGTACTCGTATTACAGGTGTCTGCAGCATCTCGCGCTAGATATTATATAATCAATCACTTTCACGCATCCATGCTAAGACATAATTTAGTTGTTTGACTGTACTCTGTAGTGTGTTTCTTGCGTTGTCATGCTTTCGTATGTTATTTCATCGAGGCATCTTTACAATCGACATTCGTAATTTACGAATCAAGGATGTGTTTCCATTTAATGTGTTTGATATTTTTTTACACATACGTTTGAGATTCTGTTGCACTTTTATCCATTGCCTTGATCATCATCATCCTTCCTAGGGTTTGACGTAGACGTTCCCTGAATACTTGAAGTGCATGATTGCATTGATATCGCTCCCGTCAGGCCGTTCTTGCACTTGCGGAAAGAGTCGGCGCAAACGTGGACTGGGCAGACGCCGGTCCGGATCGTCATCGGGCAGACGCCGTCGAAACTACTCCGGAAAGAAGTGTAAAAAATGCCGCGGACGAAAAGGTAAGCGCCACTAAGATATGTGCTGCTGGTGGAATGATACAATCATGCTGATTGGCTTATGCTTTTACTAAATGTTAATGTTCTGCAAATGATCGAATTGCACAAAGACCATCAAAGAAAACAGGAGGCCTTAGTGCATGCACATTTGTTCCACAGGTGACAAATCGCGACGAAGAAGGCGTCGCAATGGTTCGTCTAGAAGGCGCAAGTACTCACGTAATAATAAAAAGTGCAGGCGATGCCAGCGTAAGGCCAGGCGGTTCAAACGATCGTCGTCGGGTGGGTCAAAGCCTCGCCGAGTCAGAAACAATCGACAGCCGAAGAAGAGGAAGCGCGTCGTTCCGCGGCGGAAAGAGCGATCGCTCAACAAGGGATGGGTGGAAAAACAAAAGGAATGGCAAAAGAAAAACAAGAAATGGAGTGCCAAAATGCGGAAACTGCGCGATGAAAGGAGGAGGTTGAGAGCTGAGCGACGAAGAATCTGGAAACTTCGTAACAAGTCTAGACGTGGACGGCGTGGGAGGTCATTATCCGGCAAAGGAAGGCGGCCAAGAGGACGAGGCCGGCGCCGACGCCGGTGCAGGAGGGGGTCGAAGAAGGGACGGCGATGTGGGTGGAAGCGATCGCGGACTCTCGGGTGGCGCAGAGCACGGAAATGGGGATGGCGACGAGGCTGGAAATGGAGTGGCAAGCCGCGGAGAGGAGGAAGGAGAAGGAGAGGCGGAAGGAGAAGGGGATGGTTCCGTAAAGCAGGTGACCTTTGATAGTTTCATAATGATTTGATGCATTTGTGTCTTTAATCACGATTCCATTGTTGTGCATTCGTAATAATAGGTATGTCAGCAGTTAGCACTAATAATAGTTGTTGTAGTAGTTGCAATAATAATGGTTGTAGTTGTGATAGTAGTTGTAGTTATAGTTGTTGGATATTAACTTCTGGTTTGAAATACTGGCTGCAATGAGTAGTAAGAGACAAATGTGTATATTGAGACGGACACAACACAACACATTCGGGTGGAAACGTTTCGTCAAGAGACTTCTTCAACACCCCTTCAGAAATGGAATGTGTGCTTGTATTGCTTCCATTTCTGAAGGGGTGTTGAAGAAGTCTCTTGACGAAACGCGTTCACCCGAATGTGTTGTGTCCGTCTCAATATATACACTTGCTGCTATGAAAGGGTGAGCTTTATTTTACATGATCAAACTCTCTTTCAGACTACCGCGTATCGTTTACCCAGGAGGGATACATCATTTTTACTCTTGGAAATAGTGAGTTCGAACTATCGATTATTTATTAATAACGATGTCTATGATGTTATTCTGTGGATTGTTTTTGCTTCTTGTTGTGCAATTGCATTGTTCAGCACAAGTTATCTATCAACTATCATCAACTGTTGTTCGAGCCTGTATGAAGTGCTAATTGTCATGCATGACATCGACATTGACAGCGATACACAACTAGGTTTTCACTACCAGTGGTAAAGACAAATAGGTAGGTTACATACATGTGTTTTTCCATTGCCTATACTACCCAGTTTAACGCGAAAGCAGGTCAGATAGTAAGTAGTAAGTACTTTCATGAGCATAACGTTACTCGTGAATTTCCGCAGGGAAACTTCCCAGGTTCTTTATGCCAGCTAAGGTTGTGGGCGTCAACCTGATACCAGTGCCGGTGGAGACGCCAGAGGCGGCGGCGTTCTGGGTTTGGTATCACCGAATGCACTTCCTCATCATTTCTAACAAGTAAGTTTAACAAGAAGCTTGCGGAAATCAATCCTCCAACATTTAGCTTGAGGTAGGCATCCAGAAGCATGTAAAAGTAAAAAAATTCGAATTAACAGAAACAAACGAGAGACATCTTTAAGTAATATAAGTATGAAGTATCGGCTATTCAATTTTTTCTTTTTTTTTTCTTTTACAGACACCTAATAATTTTCGCATTGATAGCACGCATACAACTCCGCTGGCAGGAAATACTTCTACCCGTCTACGGGCCATCTTCCCGTGGAGAAGCTGAAGGCGTCTCCCTCTGACGTCACTGGTGACAGTGTCCAGGTCGTCGTCGTCCAGGCGCCGCGCAGGAAACGTGAGTGCCTGCCAGCCACGCCATGGGTGGTTTGTGAATGACACACACGACATCGTGCGCCACTCAGCTTTGGCTGCTTTGGTTATTCAGAAGATGAAGGACGGTACGGTTACGGTATATCCATCCACACGGTGGCCTTGGGCACCGTTTGCACAGTGGCACCCATGTAGATTATTTTTGGAATGGTTGTGCGTTTTCGATATTCTAATTTTTCCATCGTGGCCGATTGGTGTATCGAATCCCGAAATTTCAATCGATAAGCATACGCAGTGGTATCTAATTGATGCGTTATTTACAGGTCCATCAAGAAGGAAAGCAGCAGAAAAATTATCTTTCGGTGAGTAACAATATGATTGGGTAGGTATACTCGTGTATGCAGAAATAAAATAAATAATCTTTCATCGTTTTTTTTTCTAACCAATGTGTATGCCTCTCATATTCAGCATCTCTTATCCTCAGTGTTTGATTTTAAAATTCCTTCTTTTGCCATGACCATTCAGTTTTTTTAAGCATTTTGCATGACTTAAATTTGAATATAGGTACGTGAATCGTGATTGATGTTGCATTTTAATCTTTGACAGGATACGAGATTCATACTACATCAACAGGCTTCTTGAGGATTACAATAGAAGGACGTGAGTATTTTTACTCTCAGCAAACGCCTAACAAGAGAAAACAATAGAGCTGAGCAAGCATGCTGCTGAAGCGCTGCACATAGTTAGCACTGGTGGATACAAAGGGTTGTTCGGAACATTTGTCCCCCCCCCCCCCGTGCAGAGTCCGGAATAGACTACGCTTTTTCGTGTTCCTTGCGTGGAAAGAATCCTAAACAACTTTGATTGGGAAAAGTTTGTCTTCACTTACGTAGCAATACATGAGGACATGAATGCACTGTGTTTTGGAAATTGAATAATTCGTGTTTGGAGTATACCCCGTTGCTGCGTAAAATGCCACCACCCGTTTTGCATTCAGCCATGAACAATGCACATTACTCTTTGATATCTACAGAGGCGGCGCCGATGTATGGCCTGACCGGAGAGATTGCCATGTTGCCGGTTCCCGTGGGAACACCGGATGAGTCGTTTAAGTGGCTGATTCATCACAGAATTTACTACATCATCATGAAGCAAGGGTGAGCCACACTATGACTCGTGAATGAATGACTCGTTTAATGACTCGTGACGCTGCCTGATTATCATCTCGGCACACCTCTGGTGCAGAGTCAATGGACAAAGATAGACGATTGCGCCCTGCTGGAGGATTCATCGAAACGCAAGCAGATTGGATTGAGACAAAACGGTCCTTCCCCTCCTTTCTTTTTCGATGGATGCAATGTTTTTATCATTGTGTGTGTGTGCATAGGCGGCGGAACGGGGAGGGTACCAGGGCACCGTGCCCCCCTTTGACTTTGGCATTTCAACATTAGCCCTATGGGCGTTGCATGGAGAGAATGGGACCAAAAGTCGGCAGTGCCCATCCCCCCTTAATTGAAGGTGTTCCGCCGCTACTGTGTGTGTGTGAGAGGGGAGGGGGCCATGTGCAGTATGCATGTAATCAAACACGTGCTTGTGGTGGAAATATTTGCAAAGGGATATCCATGTTTTACTGTGATAATGTACTAAAAAATGCCTGACGATAACAACATGAGATTAATGGTATTAGCACTTTTTGGTATATGTATATTGTTCATTTTTACAAATGTTTAGTGTAATGAAAAACGATACCAAATTCTTATCTGTATTCAATATAAACGCGTTTCGATTATTTCTTTATCAATACATTGATACAATACAGATAGATAGGTATAATGAACACACAGGATTCAATGTGGGTGAATTAGGTACATTGAATACAGATGAGAATTTGATATTGTTTTTCATTAAACTGAACTTTTTGGTATGTTGGACAGGCCTACGAAAAAAAACGAAAGATTGCAAACTATGACAGGTCCATGACATTTCTGATCAAAAGCGTTGTTTTCCTTTTTGATCTCAATGCGGGACAACTGACGAGACATCAGCCTCTAACAGCACAAAATCATTGTCCACAGAAAGTTGTTTTTCCCTGTTTCGGGCGTCATATCTGAGGATCTACTGACGGCGCCCAGCTCTGGTGAACCTCAGCCGGAGGAGACCGTCGTCATCGATCTCAAGTCCGCAATGCCTAAAGGTCGATATTTGATTTTCTATATCTGCAGTGCCCTAAGGTCGACATTTGATGATGTTCTACATTTTTTAAATAGATATACGCACCCCTATATGTTTAGCAGAGTCTGTGACGAATAACATAATCTACGATGACGAATTTCTCAAGTTGCATTTATATTGTTGGACATTTTGGATAGTATAATTAACCCGCGCATGACTGGAGTATTTTCCATAACGCGAGTGACGGGGGAGACTCTACAGAGCCCACCCCCCCCCCCCCTCCTGTCTCCGAAAGTACTAGGCCGGTTGTCACAATTCAAACGGCATCTGATAGTCCTGAAAAACTGTGAGGAGAAACCTAACTTTATTGACTTCGAGGTCGTTGATGACGTCACAGTTCAGGTCAAAGTAAAAATTATCAGCATTTTGGCTTGTTCATATTTTAGGTTCTAGGCCACAGGCTTACAAGTCCGATCAGGCTCATTTTGGGTTTACGAACTCATTGATATATGCCTCAGATACCCTTAGTGTACCGAACTCGAACTTCGAATTTTTCAGTTCAAGGTCAGGTCATCCTAGGCCACGAAAATTATATATCATGTATCGGTCACGTGAAGCATGCTTTATGGTCTATTTTACTCATAGATTTCGAAAACAATGTCGTCTGTGTCATTTGAGGTCATTTTCAGCTGAATTTACGGAGGTCAGGCCACTTTCAGATCAGAAAAAGCTCAACTTTTGAAAATCAAATTTTTCAATAAAAAAGTACTTATCAGATGCAGTTTGAGCTCGGAAACACGACGGCGCTACCTATATTGCTGTACGATATCAAAAACGCACTGAAAATGATTTGAAAAATGTATAAATTGTAAAATTTTGACAATAATGCAAATAAATTGGCCATTTTTTAGGATGTTGGGCTAAAACTTGCCAGAGTAGTTCATTGGTGGGTGCTCTATCCCATATTTACTGTTTTTTTTTTTTGCGAAAAATTAAAAACTTTCTGAAAGTTCACTTTTTATAATTTCAAGTGCATTTTACAACATTTTCAAAATTTTGGAAATAAGCGCTGGCAGTTTGATAGTCCTACGTGTATTTGCAAGAAATTGGATCTAGGTAGCTTTAACCCTCGCCGGCCGAGGGGGGGGCGGGTGCCGCCCCCCCCATAGGGTTTTTTCGCGATAGCTCCGAACACGCTGGCGATAGAGAGCTGAAACTTGGCATACCTGACCTTTGATCCAAGCCGGATCTTTTGACACCAACCGCATTTTTGGGTCAGGTCAGGTCACTGACCTATGACGTCATAAGTGAACCTCTGCACGGTCTTCAGATGTCGCAACTTCGCAACGCCCTCACTGCCAGAGGAGATGTCACAGGGAAATGAAACTTGCAGGATCTAGTATCCATTATGAGTCCCACAACTTGTATATCTCGGATTTTTCCTAAAGGTCATATGAGGTCAGGTCATTTTCGTGGCCTCACCATTATAAGTCAATGGGGAAAAATTCAAACTGCTATTCTGGCGCCGGGAACGATCTCCAACTATCTCAAGCACACAGAATCGTGATTTGATGCACTCCTTGCAAGGTTAGATGCGTCACTTTTGCAATGTTGACCTTGCGTGACGTCATTTATGACGTCATCAAGGTCATATTAGTTTTTCGTCAATAACTCTTGATCAAATTGAGCTAGCGAGTCGGGAAAGCCACCAATGGACTCAGGAAGACCTGCCGAATCGAATGATATGCGACATGACCTCTTTCGACCAACTTCGTGACCTGGGGGTGCTGACCTGACCTTGACCTGAGGTCAACACCCCAAGTTGACCTGACCCAGACGAAAAGTATATCATTCGACGCGCCTGAGCGAGACGAACACGATGCTGCCAAAATCGGCGCTCTGCGGCCGTTTTTTGCGAAGTTATTCACCAAAAACTGAACCGTACCTTGGGGCACTTGACCTGACCTCAGAGGCCACCGGTTGACCTAGGACCTTAAAATTGGGTACCAATCTCTGCGTCTCGTAACGGCGCACACGCTCGTTTTTTCCGCGACGCGCTAGCTCCACCAGGGGCGAAACGGCGAGGGGGGGGGTCGTACCCCCCCCCCCCCTCGGCCGGCGCTTATGTAGAAAACCAATAGGTCCGGCGAGGGTTAAAACTGAGCTCTTAAGAGCGTTTGCCGTAATTCAATATTTTGCATCAAAATCGGCCGACATGACGTCACTACTCTGACGTCATTTCTGGCCAACATATGGTAGCTAGAAAGTTGAAATTTAAACACAAGATTTTACATTGATACTGCTGAATCTACCGCAAGTTTCGTGTTGATCCATCAATTGGTTAAGAAGATATTGCTGAAAAATGGGAGGGGGCTCTATAGAGCCCCCCCCCCCCTCAGTCATGCGCGGGTTTAGTATAGTCATTTTAGCTATGATATAGGATGTTTACTGGGTCCAAGTTAAGCTTTGCTTTACATCTTTTTTTGTAGATATTTTAACGTGGATGCATGCGCACATCGTCTTTGCGTGTGCATGTGTGTGTGTGGGGGTGCGTGTGTGTGTGTTTTTTTTTTAATGACCACTTTTATCGATTTTGTGTGCATAGAATGTCTCACTAATATAGTTACAGATCGACTAAAGTGGTTTCCAGACCACGGTAGAAAAGGATCAATATGAGAACAAGACAGAAGTCAGTATTGTTCCAAACAGAACTTAGTCGCCTATAATAGTAGGCGTACCACTGAAAATAATCTTCTTCCATTGACAGGTTATAAGATCAAGAAAACACCCAAAGGCTTCCTGAAGATAACGGTTAAAGAAAGTAAGTATTCTCTTCATCAATGAAGCTCATTAGAAGCAAATAAAAAAGTTTGTAGAATCACTTTATAGTGCACCTTATGATAAACAGCTCATGACTGTTGTTTTTCTGTCGTTCTAACCCGCGCGCTGGTGGGGTCTGTTTATAACGCGACCTGGTGTGTGTGTGGGGGGGGGAGGGGTATTTTTTGCCCCCCTCGTATCTCCGAAACTACTGGACGAATCCACAAAATTCAAACGGCGTTCGAAAGCCCCGTCAAATTTGTCCAGGGAACCCCGATTCCTTTGACCTCGGGGTTGCTGATAACGTCACAGGTCAGGTCAAAGATGAAATGTTTTGCCGTTGACGGGTCTTCTAGGGAATGCGCTGTAACATCGAGTAAAGCTCATTTTATCGAAAATCAGCGATAGGGCGTCAGTTGCCCACTATATATGCTGCTATTAGAGGTCACTGATAATATCAGGTCAGATCACAGGGCAGTTCACCATGGGTCAGCACATAAAACCCTACTTTACTAGGGCTGTGTTATGCATGTTTTATGGTCAATTTTTCATTTCCACCTCAATGGTGTTGGTTATATGACCATCAGGTTCGGTTTAGGTCACATCCTGGTGGAGGTCAGGTCAATGTCAGGTTAAAAAACGTCAAATTTTAAAGTTGATATTTTTGCGTAAAATGGGTGTCGATTCGATGCAGCTAGTCACGGCGAGTCTCATGGTGGTCTTTGTTTAAAATTGAGTTCGAAAATATGACGTCATTTTATTGAGGGGGGCTCTCCTGCTCATTTGATATGACGTCATTTGACGTCATTTGATTGAGGGGGGCTCTCCTGAGCCCCCCCCCCCCCCCCCTCCCCCCAGTCACTCGCGTTATGGAAAATACCCCAGTCATGCGCGGGTTCAGATCATAACTCCTACCAAAGTCGCAGCTAATCCTGAATGTCTTTATTCAAACCATGGATGAGATATAGAGGATTCTCCATGGCTCCGAGTGGAAGATAAGGATATCTTTTCCAAGCGGGTTACTGAAAAACCGAGCGACAAAGGAGCGAGGTTTTTCTGTAACACGCGAGGAAAAGATATCCGATCTTCCACGAGTGAGCCATGAAGAATCCCATTTCTTTCTATGTTGAGGTTTATTCTTAATTAATCAAATATTATATTCAAATATATTCATCTATGTAGCAATATATTAAAAGAAGTTTGTTTTTATTTCATAAGTTTCATACACAAACAATCATTAAAAATTGTTCAGTTATTGACCTATCATCACTTGAACTCTTGATTTTTGGCTATGAACCCTCGAGACCTTATCTTTGCATCTCAGAAAAGTGCGAGATAGAAATATCCCTGCACTGTAGACCAAATGGCAAATAAACCTCAACTAGAAAGATAATAATGGATTGGTGTCTTCGCAGTTTTTGGCGACATTGAGCTCAGGCCTGCCATCTAGCGGGAAAATTATCGTAAGTTAGGAGCAAGCCGAGTGAACGCCGCTGATTAACATTGTGACACACGGGAGTGTGGTGTAGTAGCAGGCTTGTTGTGCAATTTTTCAAAAGGTTATGTCTTTATATGTCAGTAAAAGCGAAGAAATTAATAGATTTATGTGCAGGGTCAGTAATAAGATAAGCAGTTCCATGTTATTTCTTCATTAGATCGTGAAACAGGGAGTTATTGGAGACTTCGCCAGCAAGTGTCGTTTTCGCTATTTTTCACACGAGTCTTTACTTGGCCTAAATCAAACAAATTGTCCGATCAAAGAACAAAACGAACGTAAGTACTATCTATAAGTCTAATGAAAAAGTTAAACGGAATTGCTAACGTCATTGCCGCTCAATATGTCATTCAAGATGCTCTATGAAAAGGACCCAACCAGTGCTGCGTAGTCGATGAAATTTCAGTGACTTTGGCTCCAACTCCGATTCCGGTATCCAAATATCGACTCCGACTCCTCCGGGCAGAACTGTCGATTCACACAGACTCCGACTCTGACTCCGACTCTGCAGCCCTGGTTAGTCTGTGGAATCGATAACTCTTCGGTGACGTTCGACTCATACTCCGACTACAGCTTTTAAAAATCAACCGACTCCGAGTCGGAACAGAACCGCTGGCTCTGACTACAACTCCGCAGCCCTGGCCCAAGATAGCCGCCTAAAACAACTTTGGTGTGATATTCTTCGTACATTGTTAATGTTATTTTAAACAAGGAGTGGAAAAGGGAGACGAAGCCTTCACAAACAAGGATCTCCTGTTGCGGATCAATCAGCTGCTGGAACAGAAAGGCCACACATCTCATTTCATCGTTTTCCTAACGACTCTGCACCAATGTAAGCACTGACCAATGCAGTGCGAGCATCGACGTGACATTTGTGTACCAAGTTTGAGTGTTATCCGCCCTTGAGATATGGAAGCGGCACCCCGCACGTGCGCAAGTGCAGTAGCACCCACATAGTGACACATGGAAATGCATTGGCCACTGCGTGCCTAACTATTGACGAAGTTATACTGTAATGGGCCCAGCCATTGCGGAGTTACTTTATGTGGAACGATTTCGACACCCCTAAGTTCGTACGTGGCACGTGCCGTAACATTAACTAAAATGAAGAAAATCGGGCGAAATTCGGAGAAGGAATAAGCCTACCAAATATGTAAGTGACAAATTGTCAAACTGCTGTACCATTGTGAGTAAATGACCATATAAAAGGTCGTACAAGCCGATGGGACTGGGCGTTTCAATACACACCGTCTTACGCATTTTATTTTCGTTATTACCTAAAGGCTGCTTGCCGTTTTTGGCTTTCAAGCATTTAAGACGTTTTTTGTCGTCTCAGGTCCAGTAAGATTACCTCCAACTCGTGGGAATATGCACTTCAAGCCAACTAACACACCACACCCACGTCAATAATGCTGAGAGGTGGCGTTCACTCGGCTTGCTCCTAACTTACGATAATTCTCTCGCTAGATGGCAGGTCTGATCCCAATGTCGCGGATCCCAATGTTAATTTCCACGAGACACCAATCCAGTGTTATATCATCCATGTTAAAACGTTGCATGGCTAACACCGTTCCGTCATGTCCAATGTCCATCCTCAGGGCTATTAAATTTTTCTCCTCCATGCCTCCATGCCAGCTCTTTCCGGGCTGGACGAACAGCTTAATCCCATTTGGGAAGATCCTCTATGGGCACGGCGATAGCCGGGTGCAGTCAGTATCAGGGCGCTGGGTGGCCTGTCCAATAGGATGGGCTCAGCCCAGTTGACTCACTATGGTGGCAGCCCAGACCAATGTTTCCCCTAATTCCTATCATCTTTCCGATTCTGCAAAGGTCATAATTGACCGGAAGAGCCCAACAAACCTACCCAACAAAGCAACTCAACAAATCAAACCCAACAAAACCCAGCAAAACAAAACAAAACAATAATAACCGAACAAAACAAAACGAAAGCATAGCTACCTACCAGCGATAGGTATACATTAATCATTTACAATTGCACCATACGCTGTCAACAGAGGAGGTGCCCACGTATGCCCTGTCCGGAGACATTGCCATGTCGCCGGTTCCCGATGGGACACCGGATGAGACGATACAGTGGATGATTCAACACAACATCTTCTATCTCATCATGAAACAAGGGTGAGTTGGGAGGCTCATATTGAGCTTGACAGTAGATTTAAATGGTATACATCGAGTGCGTTACAAGTCAATGCCTTTCTGTTTTAATGCTTTTTAATGTTTTTAATGTTTTTGTTTTGCGGTAATGTTATTTAATTTTTAGTTAATGCCTTTTTCTTTTTTACCAAAATGCCTTTTTGTTTTAACCCGCGCCCTGATGGGGGCATTTTGCTCCTCTGTGATTTTTCTTGAATAGGGAGAAAACGGCGGCGCGCAGCGGCGCCAAATTTTCAGTACCTTCCCGGGCATCAATTTGACACCATCACACAAAATTTCAAGCTACAGGTCACCTTAGGTCAAGAGTTATTGAGGTCAAACTGAGGTCATGATCGAGGAAAAATGAGCATGACATCTTGAAACGCCTACAAGATCTACAGTTAACCATCGCCGGACATACTGGTTTTCTACATACGCACCGGCCGAGGGGGGGGGGGGGGGGGCGGGTACGACCCCCCTCGCCGTTTCGCTCCTGGTGGAGCTAGCGCGTTGCGGAAAAAAACGAGCGTGTGTGCCGTTACGAGACGCAGCGATCAATACGCGATTTTAAGGACCTAGGTCAACCGGTGACCTCTGAAGTCAGGTCAAGTGCCCTAAGGTACCTTTGGTGAATAACTTCGCAACAAACGGTCGAAGAGCCGCGATTTTGGCAGCATTGTGTTCGCCTTGCTCAGGCACGTCGAATAATTAACTTTTTATTTGGGTCAGGTCAACTTAGGGTGTTGACCTCAGGTCACGGTCAGGTCAGCACCCCCAGGTCACGAAATTGGTCGAAGTAGGTCATGTCGCATATCATTCGATTCGGCAGGTCTTCCTGAGTCCATTGGTGGCTTTCCCGACTCGCTAGCTCAATTCAATCGGGACTTATTGACGAAAAACTAATATGGCCCTAATGACGTCATAAATGACGTCAGGCAAGGTCAACATTGCAAAAGTGACGCATCTAACCTTGCAAAGAATGCAACAAATCACGATTTTGTGTGCTTGAGATAGTTGGAGATCGTTCCCGGTGCCAGAATAGCAGTTTTCATTTTTCCCCATTGACTTATAATGGTGAGGTCACGAAAATAGCCTAACCTCATATGACCTTTAGGAAAATCCGAGATATACAAGTTGTGACACTCGTAATGGATATTAGATCCTGTAAGTTTCATTTCCCTATGAAAGCTCCCTCCTCTGGCAGTCAGGGCGTTGCGAAGTTGCGACATCTGAAGACCGTGCAGAGGTAGGTTTATGACGTCATAGGTCAGCGACCTGACCTGACCCGAAAATGCTTTTGGCGTCAAACGATCCGGCTCTAATCAAAGGTCAGGTATGCCAAGTTTAAGCAATCTATCTCCAGCGTGTTCGTAGCTATCGCGAAAAATCCTATGGGGGTGGCACCCGTCCCCCCCCTCGGCTGGCGAGGGTTAACAAGCAATTTCAAAGTTCTTTATGTGGTCGTTTAGAGAAAAATGGCGCTAAAAACTGTCATCTCGGATTTTCAAAATTTTGGGATTTTCACCGAAAAAAAAGATTTTTTAAAAAGAAATACTTTTAAAAATTCCCACAAAATTTCCGTATTAAAAAAGCGGAATAAATATGATAGTCCCTACGCTCTTCTATCTACATACCAAATTTAGATCGATACCTCTTTTTTGGTCAAGTTATAGCGAAAAAATTGTTGTAAATTGATGACGTCAAATGTTTGACCTCAATTTTTAGCAATTCTATAACATGAAGCGCGAAACAAAGACCACAATTAGACTCCCTGGGACGAGCTGCATTGAATCGATATCCATTTTTTGCAAAAAATACCAACTTTGAGCTTTGACCTAATTTGACCTAACCTTGACCTGACCTTCATCAGAACATAACCTAAACTGGCCCCAAAGGCTGCCTGGCCCACATAAGCGCATTTGTCATGCAAAATGAACCATACAACATGCATCCCATGACATTTTCATATTTTGACCTTCAGTGACCTGGCCTCTGTGACCTGACCTGGTATCAGTGACCTCAGATAACAAAATAGGTGTTTTCTGAACAATTCCCCATCGACTATTTTCAATGACATGCATTTTGCTCGATTTTATAACGCATTTCTTAAAATGCCTGTAAACGGTGAAAATTCGACATTTGACCTGACCTGTGACGTCATCGGTTTGACCGAGGTCAATGAAATTTGGTCACAAGGGTTCCTCGTTGGGGCTATCCAACGCTGTTTGCCGCCTCTCGCTATGTTGCGTGGTTCTCAAGATCTTAGGGGACCAAAATGGTCCCCCTCCCCATCAGACCGCGCTGCTCGGCAGACCCCATCAGGGCGCTGGCTAACGTAATCATTTCGTGGCTGGTCTACGAGAACGAGCTAGAAAGTAGACTGCAGAGTACTGACGAAAGCGAACACCTGTCTCATCAGGAAACTCTTCTGGCCCGTGTCCGGTGGCGTATCTGAAAAGCTGCTGAAAAAGCCAAAGTCCTCCGAGCCTCAGCCAGAAGAAACGGTCGTCATCGACCTCAAGTCCGTAATGGCAGAAGGTGAATATTATCAGCTTTGTTATAAATGTGTCACGACCATGGTGCAGCGACTATTGCAACGGTGTAGCTGCCTATCCCATCGCTTTGCTCCTTCACTGCGTCAAAGACATATCAGCTAATTTGTGCAGAGGCACACACTTTTCCCTAGCCGTTGATTGATGTGCAAGCCCTAACACAAAGTTATGATACAAGCCCCGCAAAGTTATGATACTACTAGTATTTCACGATGGATGCCCTCCACAGAGCTGCCGACTGATGAGCCTGACACAGAGGAACCCACAGACACCGAATCGGAGCCAGAACCTACCGACACAGAACCAGAGCCTTCAACTCCAGAATCGGAGTCGGCAGATGAACCCGAGGAAGGGCAAGGTAGGAAAGAGCGTATGATGAAGGACCTTGCTCCGACAGCTTTCGATATAAAACTGATTCTGCTGGTTTAGCTGTGTGTAGTGTATGTATGCATGCGATAACTAATATATTCGAAGAAATCTGTTTTACCTTATTCTTGTTGGTCACAGTGGTTATTTTCAATAATGACCGTAATAAGGGACTGAAATGATATATATATATATATATATATATATATATATATATATATATATATATATATATATATATATATATATATATATATATATATATATATATATATATATGTATATATATCAACTAGCTGCTATAGCTAAAAGTAAATGATGCCTTTAAGATTGCTGTTTTAAGTCGCGAGTCGCGGACAAAATAAACGAGACACATCCCTTTCTGTTTATGACAACAAACTTTTTTTCAGAGCGATCTCTCCTGGTACCAGCTGTGGAGCCAGCCACAACACCAGAAAAAGGTATGTATTATAAATCAAACAGACAAAACAGACATATAACGTAAAAAAATGTTATATAAGCTAATCGGAATACGCCGCCCACCCCACCCCTCCTGTTTCTCATAAATATATCACGCCGTAAGCATTCTATTAGCCCGGCAGGCGGTGTGCCTCCCGGCCACCTTCCGCGCGGAGGGGGGGGGGGACATTTTTTGCCCCCCTTGTATCTCCAAAACAACTGGACGGATCCATTAACCTTCAGTTTTTTCGATATATCTCCAGAGCCGCTGCGCCGATCGTCACCAAACTTTAAGCACTCTCCCGTGATTAGCGTTTGCACATTGTGATCAAAAATATTTTTCCAAAGGCTATGATAGGTTGGCCGCTAATGGCGTCAGAGTGACGTCATTTCTGTCATTTTCGACCCAAAAAAAGGTTTTGCGGGTAGAGCTGTCAGGCCTACAGCTTCAGAGTTACAGAATGATGTTTCAGACATCAAAGGTGTACATATAGAATCAACATGGCTACAAAACTGCTGTCTCGGATTTTTGAATTTTTTAGTTTTCGACCCCCAAAAATAAAAAATGATTTTTTGAATATAGTAGCCGAAAAATTCTTTTTTGGCCAGGTTATAGCGAAAAACTGTTCAAAATTGATGACGTCAAATTTTCCAACTCCATTTTGAGCAATTCTAGACCTCGTAGCGCAAAAAAGACCACCATTAGACTCCCCGTGACGAGCTGCATTGAATCAATACCTATTTTATGCAAAACTATCAACTTTGAAATTTGACCTTTTTTGGCCTGACCTTGACCTGACCTCCACCAGAAAGTGACCTAAACCATACGTGATGGTCTTATAACCAACACTATTGAGCTGGAAATTAAAAATTGGTCATAAAACATGCATCGCACAACCTTGGTAAAGTTGAGTTCATGTGGTGACCTTTGGTAACCTGACCTGTGACCTGACCTGGTAGTATCAGTGACCTCTAGTAGCAACATATGTACTAGGCAACTGACGCTTAGGTATATCGCTGATTTTCGACAAAATGCGACAAAATGCAAAAAACAAAAACGACAGCACGCTTTTGGTGCTGATTTCGAATTTAGTAACCATTTGAATATTTACGTTAAGTAGTTCTGGTGCCTTCGTACCATGTTACGAAACTGTCAGTAGTAGGTGACACCTACTATGAATGGCCGGCAGGACGTCTGCTCAATTGACCTGACCTGACCTGACCCGACCTGGCCTAAATGCATGAAAACGTCGTCTGTGATCAAAACTAACATGACATTCGTGATCAGCACCCCAAAATACCCCGTAACACCCTAACTTTACGAAGTTCCAAGAGGTCTGGATTTCCCAACTTCAGTTGGGTCATTAAACTGACTTGGAATTTGGAAAGTCAACTAATGACCTTGGACTTTGAAATTGGATATATTCGGCCCCATCTCGTATAGACAGCACGCTTCGGATTTTTCCGCGTAGCTCTAGCTTGATCAGGGGCCAAACGGCTGAGCCGGAGGTCATATTTACCCCCTATAGGTAGTACAAGCGGCTGCGCCACTTGCTTTGCTGCGTCGGTAGGAAAAAATTGCGGCACCAGCCAATTTGCTTTCGAATGGTGTTCGTTTCAAATCGATGTGTCGTTTAGAAGCATAGCTATGGACGGAAATGTGAAGAGAATTAAAAAAGAACTGTTCTGAGGGCTTTGTTGGATGAAATTTGGCTGATACGGGGTCAAGACGGGTCAAAGGGGTCAGCCCCGATCACTTTGGGTCAGGCCAGGTCACATAGGTCACCTCTCGTCCGCTGGGATCAGCCCGGGCCACTGTTCTGCTTTTGCCTCCACCACTACCCCTACACCTAACACTACCACTACCCCTACCACTACCCCTACCACTACCCCTACCACTACCCCTACCACTACCCATACTCCTACCCCTACCACTACCCCTACCACTACCCCTACTACTACCCCTACTACTACCCCTACCACTACTACTATCCCTACCACTACCCCTACCCCGACTACTACTCCTACCACTACCCCTACCCCTACCCCTACCACTACCCCTACCCCTACCCCAACCACTACCTACCACTGGGTCATGCCAGGTCGCATGATAATTTGATCCAATAAATATTTTTTTTTTCTAATCAGACTTTAGAATTTCTTCTAGCCCTGCTCCTATTCGTGCCATTCCATTACCCTTACTCGATTTTGTCGGAAATGGCGCTTTGTGGCGCATTGCGACAAACGCGGCGCATTTTCACCCGGCGATTGAGCATGTATCTTGGCATCGTAAGTGGTTAAGCGTTCTGAGGAAAATCATCATGAGAAGTATGCGCATCCGGCTGACCTTATCCTCACTTCTGTATGGAAATATGAAATTGCAAAAATAAATTACTGTATTAAAAATCGAGATATTTCGAGCACAGCTCTTCGTCGGTCGATTGTAATTATTTACACACATAACAGGCACACAATGTCGAATTCGTCTCAAGTTCTTCAGTAATGTCGCAGTAAGAAATTTAAATACACAGATCCCGTGCAAATTGATCACCCTAGTTCCTACCTTAAAAATATATCTAAACATAATTCCCCAGTTAAACTAGCAGTACATATATAGGTATCTTTCAAGAACCAATTCACACACATTTTTATATACATTATTTTGGAAGAAGCTGCCATGATGTAGTGTTATCGTTAATTTTGGGCCTGGCGTCTCGGATGAAGATGGATTCAGCGATTCTTCTATCCGCTTCGTCTTTGCATACACGCAGGATTTTGGCCGTCGCCGAGATGTCGCGTCGATCCATCTCAGGGTGCTTATGCAGCGCATGCTCTCCTAGGGGAGTGTCCTCTTCTCTGTTAATGCCGTTCCTCCGATGCTCGTTGTAGCGGAGTCTAACTGGCCTGCTCGTTTCTCCGATGTAGGTGTCGCCGCAGTGACTGCAGGTAAGTTCATATACCACGTTTTTGGTCGTGCACTTGGACTGTAGCCCCGCCTGGCATGAATGACAGCACCTTCGTCCCGAGGGGCAGGGGGCTGGGTTCAGTCGTGTCTTGACCAGTCGTTTCTTCAGGGTGTTGTTGGTGGTCCATGCTATCTCCACTGGTAATCCAGAGTTGATTGCAACCTTCTTCACCTGAGCAGCCACCTTGTCATTAGCGAAGGGCAGTCGGATATATGTGCCTTGCTTCTTCTTGTTCTGTTGTCGCTGATCTGGCCGTTCCCGTCGTTCTCTTCCTCTGTCTCTGCTTCTCTCTTCATGTTTCTTCATTTCCCTCCAACTGTACTCCTTGATCATCTTCATCGGATATCCATTACTGACAAACAGATGACGTATCTTCTCGAGCCCTCTTTTTCTTGCCGCTGTGTCTGAGCCAAGACGGATCGCCCTAGTGATCTGTGATGTGAGCACAGCCTTCTTTGTAGACCTGGCATGTGCCGAGTCATACGGCAGAATGATCGGTGCCGCCATGGGCTTGAAATACAGCTCCGTGCTGTACGAGCCGTCCTGTCGCACGCTTATCAGTGTGTCCAGGTATGGCAGCGTCCCGTCCTGGTCTGATCGCTCAATCGTGAATTGAATGGCCGGATGTCTCGAGTTGAGGAAGGCCAGATATTCAGTTAGCGCCTCGCTGCCGTGCGTCCAGAGACACCATATATCATCGATGTACCTAACATACATGTCTGGCTGAGGTCTGTCCACCTGCAGTGCCTCTGCTTCCAGCTTCCCCATGAACACTATGGCCAGAGATGGCGCAATCCTGGATCCCATGGCTATCCCATCAGATTGTTTGTAGAAGTTTTCATTGAATCGAAAGAAGTTGTTTTGTAGGCAGTGGGTGAGCAGGACTTCAACATCTTCTGGAACCAGCCCAAACAGATTCAGCTCGTTGATGTGTTCATGTATGAGCTCCATGACAGCTTCAATCGCTTCTTGGGTTGGCACGTTCCCGTAGAGATTTTTAACGTCAACGCTGAAAGCGATGCTGCCAGCAGGGAATCCTGTGGGATATTTTTCTTTTACTCTATCCAGAAATTCACCGGTGTCCTTCAAGTGTGCAGGTATGTACCTCAGCAACTGTGACGTAACTTGTTCTAACAACCAGCTTAGCCTATCCACTGGATTGTCAATCCCAGAGACTATAGGTCTCAATGGCTCACCTTCCTTGTGTGTCTTCGGTAAGCCATAGAGTTCAGCGCAGCGCGAGTGGTGAGGGCGGATGGCAGCTACAATGTCTTTGCCTATCTTGTCCTTGATTGTTTCAGATATAATTCTCTTCGTGACTGCTTCAGTTTTGGCCGTAGGATTTTGCTCTACTTGTTCATAGCCACTGGTGATTTCTTCTCCCTTTGCCAAATAGTCCTCTTTGTTCATGATAACTAGCCCTTTGCATTTATCTGACTGCTTCACTACTACGGAACTGTCCTGGCACAGTTCGCGTAGCTCTGCTCGCTCCTCTGTTGTTGTGTTCAGCGCCGTCCTGGGTGCGTTGCGGTAAATGGCCAATATTTTGTTCTTAAGTGCTCCCATGGAGTGTTCGGTATCACGGTCTAGTGGGTTCGCTTGTCGGGTGGGGACGTTCGGGAATCGTGGCTTTCTCAGTGTCTGCTGCTGGCCGAGGTCCGTGTTCTGAGAGCTTGCTAGCTGTCCATCTGTGTCACGCGGCCTACTTGTCGTTTGTAGGTCGTCTTCGTGTTCGTTTGTCTCGTTGATCTCGTTGCGGCTTCCGGTGTCGTTGTTCCGTTGGTTTTGTTGTTCTCTCTCTTCGTTCGCTCGTTCCCTATGCGTCTTCCATCTCAATGCATGGTAGCCTCTCTCCACGCCTATTTCCACTTCACGGATCATGTTTGGATTGACCTGTTGGGTCATCGCAAACGTCGGTCCCCTGGACAGCAGCTTCTCCAGTGGTTGGCTCATCGGTCTGTTGGACATGTTCTTGACACGCTCGAGAACAGACGGGGCTGATTGTTGACGGTCTTGTGGTTGGGGATGTCGTACAG